TTGAGTATGTAGCAGGATTGGATTATGGGAGATACCGTATTTATTCTAATATAAAGACAGTCTTTAATAAAACAACACCCTAGAAGTGTTGAAAAATCAAATGTCGTTATATGTATTAGAATAAATACGGTCAGCTTATTCATCATTTGCCATGGCAATAAAATTTATTGTCATTTTGCCATGGCAATAAATTTGCGTTTTAGACTATAATTAATTTTTTGAGAATATCAAAAACAAGAAAATATTAAAAAAGTTACGCACAGCAATGCTTCTAATCCAAAAAGTTCGTGGCTCACAAAATCGAGCCATGGCTTAGAAATAATAGCTTGGTATTTAATTTTCTAATATCTTTTTAGAATATTTATTTGTTTAGCTGATAATTTTTTGAATAAATTAAAATTAAATAATTTCTATTAAAATAAAATCATTTTCATTTGTATGTATCTCATAATTATTTTGGTACTATGCATTTACATCCCCGCATTTTACTTTCTCCGTCTTTATCATAAATACTTGATAACGATCAAATCAGGGGGCCCTTTTGCCTCTTTTTAGTGGGTTTTCCATTTTTTTCAACCTTGCCACATTTTCCTTTTTTTTTTATTTTTCTCAAGATTTTAATTATTTTTTATTTGTTTATGTACTCATTGCCATAGGAAAATCATTTTTTGGGACTTTTCCGTTATGACGCCACACATCTAAAAATATTTAAAATGCCCATGTTTCAATTTTCGCAGTACAATTAAGCATTGTCTCAGTATTTTCTGTTATTAATTTTTCATATTTAGTAAAAAAATATTTTAATTATAAAATGGAAAGAAACTCCATTAAAAACTGCAAAGTTTGTGAGTCTAAGGAAAATGTTTGTTTTCATTATGGAGTATGTACATGTAGGGCTTGTGGGGCTTTTTTCAGGTATTTCTTAATAAAATTTAATTTAAAATTTTTTTTTCAAAGGCGTTATCTTGAAAACGAAAAAAAGAGTAAATATAATAAATGTAAATGTTTGCAAAAACAATTGTTGTTAAAAGAGAAGAAAATTGAAAGAAATTGGGAAAAATGTAAAAAATGTAGACTTGAAAAATGTTTTTTTGTTGGAATGAAAAAATTGGGTTTGTCAAAATATTTAAAAATATGTACTTTGAAAATAATCTTAGATATTGGATATGTACGTAAAGATATATGCCGGGAAGCAATGGAAGAACAAAGAAATGAAAATAACGTAAATTTATTTTTTGATCGGGATAAGATACTGTTGAATCTTATTTTACTCAATAAGAAATCCGTTTAATTTTGTCTTTGAGGTATAGTTAATGGATACCCGGCAATTTTCCGTTCTTCCACCTCCCCTACATTAATTATCAATATTGATATCTAGGATAATAAAATGTAGGGAGTGAATCGTTCGACTAAGTCCGTCGAGGCGAATCGAATGACATATGCCACGTCCCGAACTTCTACCGTCGGTCACTACACTACAGCCGAACCTGAACTGTTTAATAGGTGTTAAATAGATCTAATCTACTCTACTTTTTAAGCTTCCAAATCCTCCAACTGTCGAAATAACCATCAAAGAGCAGAACATGATAAACTCAATTTTACCAATTATTGAAGCCAAAAAACGTATTATGCATGCATTTAATGATTTGGATGATATATTCCTTAATGGCCCGATTTTGTTTGAAGAAATAATTTTATCTAATTTTAATATTTTTCGTTTAACTGGGAATTTTTCGGTAAATTTTAATTAAATTTTTAATTAAAATTAATTTTGGTTTAAAGCCAAACCCAAGTCCAATACCTTTTGATGAATTAAAAAAGTGGGAAACTTCAATAGAAAATGAAGGAATGTTTAACAATCGTTATCACAAATATTTATTAGTTGACAGACTTTTACTTGTTGGTATAGCTAAATCTATGCCTGTTTTTGAAAAATTGACTTTATCTGATCAGGTATAGATAACTTATGTGAAGGTGTATGAGAAGTGAGAAGCAAATTGCTTCAAGCTTAAACAATTATATGTAGTATACTCTAAAAACAATTATATTTAGTATACTCTAGGGTGGCTTTTTACTTTTAACAATACATATATGTATTTGTTTTGTTGAAGCTATAGTATTTCCTCTAAAATGGCCCTCTCTAAGATAAGCTCCACTCCTTTAAAATTTTTAATTGTCGATTAATTGTTGTGTCCTCTCATTTAGTAAGATTAAAAGCGACTAATGAGATCAACGTAGATATCCAGAGATTTGAGAAGGATTTGTTGGTTTGATCAGATAATAGGGATAGTGAAGATTAAGAGAGATTAAAAAGGATTTGATTGGATTAATATTGTTTTCATTGATTACATATAATGGTGTTTCTCTATCAAATCCATTGATAACCTTTTTAATTTCTTTGTTGTAATTAATTTAAATAAGTATATTTTCATAAAATACCTAGATTGCACTTCTAAGGCATATTTCTTATGTATTTACATCATTCACTGGCTCTTACCTAGCTTGGGAATTAGGCTCTGAAACTTGGACACGTAAAGATTGTGTTATGCCAGCTCTTGCTATTATGAAGAATGATTTATTGTTAAATGATACTCGGTTAATCTAAAAATCTTGAAAAATATGACCTTAATTTTAGTATGATTAAATGGACGGATTATGTATTTACAAAATCTGTTGCTCATTTTAAACGTGTTGCTTTAACAAAAACTGAATATGCTTTATTAATAGCTATTATTTTTACTAGATCGAGTAAGATTAATTCAGAATTTATTATTGAAAAGTACCGTTTTATCGAGTAATCCAAGTATCCGAGTCAAGTAATTACGCAAAAACCCGAGCGGTCGAGTCGATTAACTCTAACTCGCTCGACTTGGACTTACTCTAATTTAAACCCAAAATTTTTAAAATTTTTATGAATTTAGATAGCTTCGTGAAGAAGGTATTTGAAAATTTTATTCATCTAGGTTTTAACTTGACAAATTTATAGGCTTGCCGAGAGGGTATATGACCTAAACCCTTCTGCTGCTCACTATTAACATTTCATTTTTAATTTAAATAAACTTTAAAATTTTCAAATTAGATACTAAAGACTTGTCTGCTGAAGGAAAAGAATTACTTTTAGACGAATCAAATAAATACACAAATATTTTACTTCGATATAATCAACGAAGATTAGGTTTAATTGAAGGGGCTCAGAGATTGGCTGAATGTAGCCGACTAATTTGTCGAAGTATTGAAAATGAATATTCCTTTCGATTAATGCTGTCTCATCAACTAAAATATTATTCAATGGGTGTAGATTACTATAAATGTTCCAACTTTCTTGAAAATAAATTAAATAAAAATGATTAAATTTTAATTAACTTTGAAAGTAAAATATGTATTTTTTCATTATTTTTAAAGTTTATTTCTATTAACTAAATTTATTTTTTAATTTCTTCTTTCTCCATTTTGTACTGAATTCCCCTTTTAATTACCTAAATTATTAAATCCAATCATAAAATTTTAAAATCTTTTAACTTTATTATTTAAAAAATCCCAGCTTTTCTTTAGGCCATGAGTCTTGTATGAATCACTAGCTTCTGAAATTAGAGCCAATATCAACATTTTATTAATGGCTTCCTCAAGAGTCTGCCCGGGATATTTTGTCAAATGTTTTTCTCGCACAATTTTACTCTAATTTTTGTGGTGGCACGCAAATCATATATGTATCTAGTTTAAAATCTTGAAAAAATAGGGAATTTTACAAAAAAGCAAGAATGTAAGAAAGTTCCATATCCAGCTTTATCAAAACCAAAACATACCAAAAAATATAATTCAGTCCAACTTTATCAAGTTGTCTTTCTTTAACGGTTAATTTAAATATTTTTCGTTTAGTTTATAGTCTTTTGAAAAATTTTAATTTAATTTTTAATAAAAATAATTTTGTTTTAAAGCCAAATCCATGTCCAATACCTTTTGATGAATTAATAAGTTGGGAATCCCAGTTCAGCATAAATGATTAGTTAAATTTACCTAGTCTTTATAACAATTATAATAATTGTAAAATCATTACAAAAGATGTTAATATTTATTCCTTTATTTAAATTTTTTATATTTTCAATGATAAAAATAGGAGGCATTAATAGAAGGTAAAAGATTTAATAGAAAATGAAGAGTAAGGACCTCGACCTCAATTTTATTCTTCTTCATTCTTAACCACTTCTTTCCAAAAATATTTTCATAAAGTTTGAACATTTTGAAAAATATAAAAGTTGGTGAGAAAACATTGACCGTAAAGCATATTCATTTTCAATACTTCGACTAATTAATCGGCTACATTCAGCCAATCTTTGAGCCCCTTCAATTAAACCTAATCTTCGTTGATTATATCGAAGTAAAATATTTGTATATTTATTGGATTCTTCTAAAAGTAATTCTTTTCCTTCAACAGACAAGTCTTTAGCATCTTTTAGTGAAAAAATTTTTGAGTTCGCCTTTACTAAATTAAAGTTTTACCCGCTTTCGTAAGGATAATAGCTACTAATAAAGCATATTCAATTTTTGTCAATGCAAAACGTTTAAAGTGAATAACAGATTTTGTATACACATAATCTGACCATTTAATCATTCTAATGATTAAAAAAAATATTTTTTCAAATTTTTAGAAAAATTTATTTACTTATCATCATTTACAGTATACTTCAAAATAGTGAGAGCAGGCATAACACAATCTTTACGTACCCAACTTTCAGAACCTAATTCAAATGATAGATAGGTGTTTGTAAATGATATAAACACATAAGAAATACTCCTTAGATGTGCAATCTATTTTATAAAAAGAAAATTAAAAAAAAAATTTTTTTTCAGAAAAAAATATTAATTGAGCTTTTCTGTTTCGCTTTTGTCTTTAAGTCCGTTTAGCACACCCGTTATACCAGAGGTGTGCCGAAACTGATTTTAATAGGTTAAGATTCAGAATTTAATAACGATATCATAAGGGAAGATGTGATTAACGGAAACTAGGTGGCAAAATTCTTATGCACCTCCATATGGATTATATATACCTGATCAGATAAAGTCAATTTCTCAAAAACAGGCAAAGATTTAGCTATACCGACACACAAAAGTCTGTCAACTAAAATGCATTTTTGAACTCTACTATTAAATATTCCCTCAGTTTGAAATGAAGATTCCCAACTATTTAATTCATCAAAAGGTATTGGACTTGGATTTAGCTTTAAATAAGATTGAATTTTATTGAAAATTAAATTAAAATTTGCCGAAAAATTCCCAGTTAGACGAAAAATATTAAAATCAGACAAAATTATTTCTTCAAACAAAATCGGGCCATTAAGGAATATATCATCCAAATCATTAAATGCATGCATAATACGTTTTTTGGCTTCAATAATTGGTAAAATTGAATCTATTTGTTGTTGATCTTTGATGGATATTTCGACAATTGGAGGATTTGGAAGCTTAAAAAGTACAGAGTTGTTCATAAAAAAATACAGGGTTTCATATATAAAATATTAATTTTTAAAGATATTATTTTTTAAATATTATTTTCAGAAAAAATAATGATTTTTAAGGTTCCCAATTCTTCACAATTACCGATTCTACAGTAACTTTTCCCGATCAAAAATAAATTTACGTTAATTTCATTTCTTTGTTCTTCCATTGCTTCCCGGCATATATCTTGACGTACATATGCAATATCTAAGATTATTTTTTAAATTAGTACATATGTTGATTCATGAAATGTTCCCACAAAAGAGGAACCAAAAGTGGGTCTTAATATTTTTTCCTCCAAACAACTTTTTGTGCTTTATTATCGTAATTGGTATATGTATATTTCTGGATTGACTCTCTTTTAATTGATATCCTGGTTTAAAAGGCTAAGAGAAAGTCTCTGTTGATTTTGTCACCCACTCTGTTGAAAAAAATAGTTATCACTCAAAAAATAAGTGATAACAAAAATGAACTTATTTATGAACCGAACTAGTATTTTTAAATATTTTGACAAACCCAATTTTTTCATTCCAACAGAAAAACATATATCAAGTCTACATTTTTTACATTTTTCCCAATGTGTTCCGGATTTTTCGGCTTTCTTCTCTTTTAACAACAATTGTTTTTCCAAACATTGACATTTATTATATTTATACTTTTTTTCATTTTCAAGATAACGCCTTTTAATAAAGGATTTTTCCAAATTAAATTTTATTGAGAAATACCTGAAAAAAGCCCCACAAGACCTACATGTACATACTCCATAATGAAAACAAACATTTTCCTTAGACCCACAAACTTTGCATTTTTTAATAAAATTTCTTTGCATTTTTAAATAAATTGGTATTTTTTCTAAATAAAAATAACCGAAAAATAATCTGGAAATGCTCAATTAACACATACCTAATTAATGACAAAAATGGAAATAGTGAGATATTAATACATTTTTAGATGTGTGGTCTTAAAAAATTATTTTCCAATGGCGATAAGTACCAAGCTCTGCTTTTAGAACCTGTATTGTGATAATTTCAGAAGCTGTATTTTAAAAAAGCAGAGCTGGGTATGTATCGGCATACGTAAGGTTAGCGAATTTGCTTTCCATTTTGTATTTGATCGTTATCAAGTAAAGATATTTTTGAAAAAATGAGAGAAAGTAAAATTCGGGGTTGTAAACGCATAGAACCAAAAAATTAAATAATTATGAGATAACTGTGAGAATGATTTTATTTTAATAGAAAGTATTTAATTTTAATTTTTCTAAAAAAATTATCAGCTAAACAAATAAATCTTTTAAAAAGATATTAGAGAATTAAATATCCAACTTTTATGTTTAAGCCATGGCTCGATTTTCTGAGCCACCAACTTTTTAGATTTGAAACATGGCTGTGCGTAACTTTTTTAATATTTTCTTGTTTTTGATATTCTCAAAAAAAATTAATTATAGTCTAAAACGCAAATTTATTGCCATGGCAAATGATGAATAAACTGACCGTATTTATTCTAATACATATAACGACATGTAGTTTTATTTTTCAACACTTCTAGGGTGTTGCTTTATTAAAGACTGTCTTTATATTAGAATAAATACGGTATCTCCCATAATCCAATCCTGTAACCGATCATCATAACATTATCTCCAATTTTCGACATCACAATATTACAAAACTCAATATTAAAGTTTTTAAAATTAATAAAAAATCATTTTATTTTTCCATCGCTGCTGCTTTTTCTTTTTCCGCAGAATTCCGCCTTTTTTCACCCTTCCGCTCTCGGGTTTCGTCTACCGCTTTTAGTTATGTTTCGATTTCTTCCACCTTCGATTTTTAAGTTGCGGCAATCGTAATTCAACTTCCTTCCAGTATAATTCAGATGAATCAGAATTTTTGCTTCAGCACTGTTGTTCAGCCACCAGCTTCTGAAATTCTTCTTTTCTTTTTTAATAATTATGAGTAAAGCTCCAAAATTTCTAAATTAAAAAATCAATCCAATAAAAAGTTTTTTTTCTAATTTCTAATATCTCTTTAATTTTTGTTAGAAAATTTATTTGGTTAGCTGTCAATATTAAAAAAATTAAAATTGAATAATATTGAATATACATATTACAATTTTGCTGCGGACTGTGGATTGCGTCTGCGGAAAATTTTTTTCATTTTGCGGACACCCTTGGTCTGAACACAGTTGAGGTTGTTACCCAATTAGATACCCTCACTCTTTTTTATCACAAAATAAAAATTTATTTAAATAAAAGGTATAATATTAGACATATCTTTTGTACTAATTTTACAATTATTATTTCCATTATTATTATTTTTGTCTGTATCTGAATAAACTGCCGTTGTTGTTTCTCTCTTTTTCTCCCCCATTTTCTTTTTATTATTCTTCTTTTCTTTTGAATTTTGAGAATTTGAAGATGTTGAATGTAATGAACGATGTAATTGTCCATTTGAATATGTTGATAAGGATAAAATTGGAGCTAATTCTTCGCGTCTTTGAATTAACCCAATTCCATTACTTGTAGGTGGTCGTAATGATAAACGTTTCAGTTCATCTGCATCTACCCATGAGGGAAAATCGCCGTCTCTTTGAAAGAGTGGAATGAGTTCGGGTGGCCAAATTCCTTCCTTTGAAAAATAAAACTTGGGGTTTGGGAAATTTAATTTGGGAAATTTGGTAAAAATAAATGTGGAGATGATCTAAGCAATTGGAAGGGAATAAAGAGAAAAAGTCGGGACCAGTTGGGGTATATTTTTAAATGATCCATTTACTGGGCATTCATGTTAGTGTCATAATGGTAGATGTTATCTTGATACATTAAAAATATCAGAAATAAGGACTGTGTACAAGATATAGGTTCACGCTTTTTCACAGCAAATCATAATTACTTTAGAGATCATTGACCGGACCAATTGGGACTTAGCACTTGATGGAAGCCTTACATTGCTAACCCCATCAAATATCGGATCATCTGATGAAACTTATGGTTTTTACATTTATTTATCACTCCACTAAATATACTTCTGATTCATATCCAACTTTATCAAAACCAAAACATACCAAAAACATATAATTCTGTCCAACTTTATCAAGTTGCCCTTCCTTAACAGCAATAGCATCACCCACCATTCTATTCATATCAACCTTCTCCATCGATTCTGGACTCATTCCAATAGCTTGACCAACAGCGCTAATTAAATCTTTTACTGTTACCCTTAGAAATTTTTGTAAAATTTTTTAGTTTTATTTATATTACGTTTTTGAGCCATAAAAGAAACTTGTATGAGCAATACTGGTTGCTTGTTTGCCCAAATAGTAAAGACTTCGAACATAATTAGAGCCGACATCTTAAAGGATTATTTTAATTATTCTTAGATGGAACTTTTTCTAACTAAAGTTCCAAAGTTATTTAAAACACGTGGAACGATCCCGATTCAAGGAATAATTCTTAAACTCGGCTCCATGAGCTGGGTCTCGAAAAATAAAACATCTCCTTAAGTGGATGGCTTGAGAGTGAATTCCAAAAATAGATTTGTTCCCCACCTTTGAGAATAATTTTCTTATAACTCACCTAAAGCAATTGTTGACAGAACTAATCCAATACACATATAAAGGAGAACAATAGGAATTAAAGAATTACTTTAAAATTTATTTAAAATATGTAAAATTCAAAAAAATAAAACTTTTCTGGTATTAAATGTCCATATTCAATAGCAGTAAAACAAAGATACGAATAAAATAGGCCGTCAATAAATTGGAAGCATCCTTGGAGTAGAGGAAGTAATACAGCTCCAGCGGCCTATAAATTATTCAAAGGATTTTTTCCACTTAAATTTTCTTTCGATTTTCGATTTCAAAAAGTTAGAAAATTTTTGTGTTTTCGATATTTTTGAAATATTCTCTATTTACGAGCTACAAGTTTCGAAAATTCCTCGGCTTCGAAACAGCTCTAATCACGACATAATATTTGCCTAATTTTGCCTCCAACTAGAACCTGGCTCGAGGATCCCTGCTTTCCTCAAACTAAGGATTCAAAAATATATTCAAAAAATGTTAATAAGGGAATCAGATTTAAGAGTATTATGATGGGAAAACATTTTCCGGTTAAAATGGAAGAAGATCGCTTGATAACGTCTTCAAATTCTCAGATTCTTTATAATAGACCAATCTAAAATTCTTCCAAGATGCTCTTTCAACCTACCAAATAAGTAAAAACAATAGCAGCTAATGTAAAGGGAGATATTTGTTTAGCCTCATATTCATTTTCGAGCTCTTCATCCTCATAAAACCAAGGGTTTAAGGATATTGTTTCTTCATCTTCATCTTGCACAGAAGTAATACTTGACTCCTTTCTTTTACATCCAAAAAGTTTAATAAGCATTTCACCTCTTTAGAAGAACAAAAATTTTATTTAGAAAAGAATACTTTACTTGAGGAAGCGTCCCAATCCGTCAAAAATTCTATTCCGTTGCTTCCTCTGACAATAATTTTTTCTTAGATATCTCTCCATTCGACGCATGTAAAGACCCAAATTAGTCAGAATTATTACCTCAAAATTTATTTTTTAGTAATTTTAATCAAATATTTATTCCAATAATCACCCATCTTCAATTTTTGGACATTCTAAGTAGACCCGTGTAAGTAAAAGATATAATGTCAGAGGAGATAATGCTGCATTTCAATAGCTGACTGTCTAGTTATCAGCCGAGCATTTCTATTTGAACTTATTCGGTTATGACCCTCTCCAATGATCTTACCCTTACCCTCCACTCTTTAATAACATGTTTCTTTGATAAATACAATCTTCTCATCTATTTGTAGAATCAAAACTCAAAATCTGATAGTTCCCCAGACCCCAAAAAATTTTAAAATAACTCTGGAAGGGCGATTAACTCATAGAAGATATAGAAACTAACAGTGAATGGAACACCGAAAAAGCCCCATACAACAGTAAATAGTTGTGCCTGAATAGTCTCTGGTTCAATTTTTCCATAACCTAAAATTTTTTTTATATTTTTCCAGAAATATTTTTATTTTATTTATTTTCCTTCACAAGTGTGAAAATAAACACATTTCTCATTTTTTAATTTTAAAATACCCTCAGGCAATTTATCATAAATTATGTTCATAACTGCCTATAGAGGGTTTTAAAAAGGCTTTCTCGATCACTTATAGACATAAATCAAAATGATGGTTTTACAAAGAAAAATTTGAAAGGAAAAAAGGATAAAAAGCTTGTCATGCTCAATATTACTTGAAATATAATATTTTTTAATTTTTTAAAAAACAGTTGGTGTTTGGGAAAAAATATTTTGGGCAAAAGAACACCCAAAAATCTCTCATTTTATGTTGCTTCAACAAAAAGTCATAAATTGCAATGTAATGAGAATAAAAATAAAAAGTGACGGGCCTTTGTCATCTGCCCGAACAGAAGGCATTTTAGCTTAAATGAAATGCTTTTGGGATAAAATATTTGAAGAAAAAAAAATTTTTTTGAGAAACGTGATCTTCAACTAGAAGATTTTTAATAAATCGATAATTTTTTAGTGATTTTATATTTTCTTTTAAACTTACGATTTGTGTAAATTTGTTGCATGTTATTTATTTTATGAGAGAAATGAAGGAAATTTTATCCAATCTTCCTATTTATTTTAATCTTCACCATATTAAGAGTTGTTTAAATCCTAAAATAACCCCGTATGTTGAGCCGTATGCCTTTTTACATGCTTTAGCTTAGAGATAGGTAAACTCTCAATCCTTGATCATATAACAGGGTTGGATAAAAAATTAAAACAGTGCGAGATCCTAGCGAAATAAAATGATCCGAATACCCTAAATAGCCTCGTTTTTAAAGTTAATAATTTCTAGCCCTTTTAACATGCCGTAGCTTAGATAGATAAAATCGCAATCATGGATCAGAAAATTAAAACGGTACTCAAAACGATGCTCGACTAAGATGTCGACTAAGCTCAAAGATTAAGGAAGCTTTATTAATATTTAAAAATTTTCTTATCCCCAACATCCCCTATCCTCAAATAAATTTTATAAGATTCAGATAATTCTTTTAATAATTTTAATTTGGTTGTAATTATTATTGCCGTTTTATTTACATTTTGTTGAAAACATTGATCTCCTAATTTAATTATATTCCCAAAATGCCCATTCTCTTCAGTAAACAACGTGCACAACCACAAACACCCCAATCTACGTCTTCAGGATTTAGACATGGTCCCCCAAGTACAACATCTTTTGGCTCTGGACATTCTCAGCAGTCACCAAGGGCGAGGTGACTTTGTCACAAATTTTGTTTGAAATCGAGTATTTAGGCATAATTTGAGGCCAACGGCCTCAAGCAGTTCGATAGGTGTGATTAGACGACTCTCAGTTGCGCACACGGGACTTCGCCGGAGGGCCAGCCAAAGGGCCAGAAAATCCATTCAGAGATTGAGAGGGAGAGGTGATACTGTGAGACGTTTTTTGAGGGTATGTTTTAAAGGAAAAATTAAATTTTCTTAATTAAATTAAAGAAAATCATTGAAAAATTTAATCAAATAAAAAATTAAAATTTTCCTTGATATAGGACCCAAAATTAATTGGCCAAATAGCAAAAGACATCTATCAAAAATGGCACATAAAGCACTTGATACCCTTATTTTTTGTATTGGTTTATATGATAATTGGTGCATTTCTCTTTTTATGGCTAGAGGAAGCTGCAGAAAAAGAACGGATTGCAAAAAGGTTTGCAAGAAATGAAAAAATTTTTTGAAGAAATTTTTAAATTTTGAAGAAATTTGGAATATGAAAAAGAAAGGCGCCTTTTTATTAAAAGAATGGAAGAAATTCTGTTGGATAGAAGTTCTCGTGGAGATATACTAAAAAGGAGGGAACAAGTCGAAGAGGCAGTTGATCACTTAAGGATAACACTTTCGATAGATCCGTTGCCTAGATTGCCTGAATGGTCTTTTACTAATTCTATGTTTGTTTTTTTTTGAGTTAAAATAATAAAGTCTTAGAGTACAAGAGCATTGTAATTTTCGATGAAATTTTAGGAAAATAAAAGGATAATAAAAAAAAGTTCTCCTCAAGGCAGTACGCAACTGCATATTGCGTAAATTAGGAGGTTCTTGCATTATTAGGAGGTTCTTAAATTGAAAACTTTTTTCAATTTCGGACAGTCCTGGTTCAGATCAAGGACTATTTTTCTCAAATCCCATCTCCCATAATATAGTTTTTACCAATTTTATCAGATTGTGCGTTAATTCAAGAATTAATCTTTTTAGGTATTTTGCTGGTACAATATTCACAACAATAGGATATGGAGATATTGCTTGTGAAACATTTTATGGTCGTCTAGCAACAGTGATCTACGCTATTTTTGGTTAAAAATTTTTATTTACAAAAATTTGGGAATGCTTTATTTACATAGAATTAAAATGAGAGGATGAATAAGGAGAAATGATTAACCAATTTTTCGGAAGAGAATAAGATTTTGAGCATTTTTATTTATTTTTAGAAAAAGACCTATAATTTAAAATAAAACCCTAATAATTTTAACTGATAAAAATATCGGCTCATAAAAACTCCCTTTTGTTGATATAGAAAGCTATTTTTGTGAGGTAACCCTTCTTAGGCCATGTTTGTTAACAATGAACTGCCTGGTTTACAAAGGGGATATTCAAAGTTTCCAATAAATTTTCCAAAAATTCCACAAAATTATGAAAAATTTTTTAGGCATTCCATTAATGTTAATTACTCTAAATGAACTGGGCAAATTTCTCTACAAATCAATCAACGAATTATTTGCAATGTTTAATAAAATATGGGCAAAATTACGGAAACGTTTGGGATTAAAAACTAAAGGAAAAGATGAAGCAATGAATAATGATGTGGAAAAGGGGTTGAGGAATGGGGATAATGGCAGGCAACAAATTCAATTTAAATCAAGCGAGGAACAGGCAAAAGCCGTTAGCTTTCATCTGTATGTTAATAATTTAAATATTTTATCAGAATAAAAAAATCAGAAATAAAATTCAGAATTAAACATCGGAATTAAAAATGGAAAATAAAGTCATCAGAAAATAAATAATAAAATCAGAAAAAAAATAAAAATAAAATCAGAATTAAATTTAAATTAAATAATCAGAATTAAAACCAGAAAAAATCGAAATATCAGAAAAACTTAAAATCAGAAAAACATAAAATCAGAAAAATAAATCATAATATCCAAAACAGAATCAGAAAAAAGTCAGAAATTCTCCAGAATTAAAAATCAGAATTAAAAAATAAATATTATCAGAATTTTATTAATCTCAGAAATGCTGAGGGTGAAGAAGAAAAATCTACAACAGACGATCTTTCCCTAAAAATGGAAGTGAATGAAAGTGACAATAATTGTGAAGATAATACTGGACAAAAATTTTCTTTGCCAACATTAAAAGAAGAGAATACATTAACAGAAAGTGAGGAGATGGTAAAGGAAGTAAAAGACGGGAGTGAAGTAGATGAGGATGAAGGTGGGGGTGCTAGTGTAGATTGGGAAGATGAAGAGGAAGAAAGGCAGGAAGAAGTAACTGAAGCACCAAGAATGCCTGTAATTGTGGCAGTTACTTGCACTTTTGCTTGGATATTTTTGTGTGCTGGATTATTTAGATTATGGGAGGTAAATAAATAATTAAATCTGAAAGTACATTTTAAAAGACATAAATTATAACAGAATTGGTAAAATCAGAATTTTTAGGCTATTAAATAAATATTCTTACTCGGGGTATCGCGCGCGCGGCTAAGTAGGCGCAAAGTCATACCTTGCTTCAAGATTTCCGAATCTTTACAATTTATTTTAAATTTCCTCTTAAAAATATGGGAAGGATTTTAGATTTTTAATTAATGCCTTTTCCCTCTGTTGATTTGATCCTTTGTCAGATCAAATCAAAACTCCAAAAAGAAAATTATTAAAATTCGATGATCCTCGGAGATTGGATATTAGTTTTCACACATTCGAGACCAGTTTCATGCTCTCTTGTGGCTAGGTTTTCTACTACATAGTTATCTTTGAAGCTTGATTTTAAAGCAAATTTCAAAAAATAATTTAAATTATAGCATCAATGGACATACGGAGACTCTCTCTATTTTATGTTCATTTCTTTGTTAACGGTTGGCCTAGGAGATGTTAATGTTCAAAGAAGAGATTTGGTTTGTCCCTAAATCATGTAAAAACCTTCAAAAAAAATTTTAGATGGTCCTCTGCTTCATTTTCGTCATTATCGGCCTCTCCCTAGTTTCAATGTGTATAAATGTCATTCAAAACTCCTTGGAAGACCTCTACCGAAAATTATTACTAAAAATCCTGTCAGATTATCAAGCAGCTTTAACAAAAGATGGAAGTCATAAAACTGCCTCGATGGGTGTAATAAAGACTTTAAGCCTTAACAAAACGGCAAAATATTTAATGCCAATGTTGAGTGATACAACAAAACGTTCTGTGATGCAGAAAGTGCAGGAAGAGGCTAGAGAGACGGGAATGGAAATTCCTCCAATTTTTGAACATTTTGAGGAAATTAACCAAATAATTAACAAAAAAGAGTTGGCAAATGATGAAGAAATACAATCAACAATTGTTGATCAAATATTGAGGCCAAATTTACAGAGTGCACATTCCAGTTTGTTATGCGGAAGATCTGCGAGTTTTACTTCGAGGGATAGAAATACACAAACAGAAATAAAGAAAAAGTGAGAATTTTTTTTAATTTTTAAGGGGAAAGAGAGGAGTAAAAATTTTTAGAAAAATATCTTTGTGACTAAAAACACATTGAAAATATTTAAAAAAATTGAGGACAAAATCATAACTGTAGATTATTTTTTTCCTCATCCTCCTCGATAGGGATGACCTCAAAAGGACATTACTATCATCCACCATCATAATAATCTTCCAAAATTTCTCCAAAATCATCCATTGGATTAATTCATATAATTTAAGAGAAAACAAAAATGACCAAACTATACGTGTTGAACATGAAGATATGTCTAGTCAAACAGAAATATCTTTTAAATTGGAAAGAATGGGTGTTGAAAAGGAACAGCAAACAGAAAGGTGTGGGTCAACGGATGAAGGAATACAAACATGTAGTATCGAACAACGTGATGCAGAATCTATGACTACACCAAGTACAAGCATGGTAAAGAGAATTTGGCTTTTAAATACTACAAGAAATTTGAAGATGTTTTCTAAGAAAACCGTCCCTATTTTTCGAAAAATTAGTTTTTCTTGGACTGGAGACTTCCTGATTTGGCTCTCTAACTAAAAATATTTTTTACCTTAAATATTTTTTCTCAGAGTGTTGACATCCAAACCGACAGTGTTTTATGTGTCGATGAAGATGTCCAAACATTTGAACTGCTTGAACTTGCTGATCAGGAAGTTCAAACAGATGAGAAACCAACGAAAAATCAAAGGATACAAACACCTCTGCCTGTTCTAGTTGATGCAGAGGCACAAAGTGAAGAGGTGAGGAAAAACTGTGAAATTAGCTAGGGTGGAGTAACTCAAACTCTGATCTGACTTTTACCCTAAACCCGACTTGCCACCCCTGTCAAACTTAAACCATCAACTTTCAAATTCGTGGTAGTTATCATAAAATTATCACCCCTTAAGAATAGTTATCAGAAAGGAACTCAAATGTGTAGAAATTTTTCAGATAAACAAAGACTTGGAAAAAATTCATGGTTCAAGACTTCATGCGGCTAGAAGAAGATTGCGCCAAGCATTTCACCGTTCAAAAGCTAGAGGAATTGAAGATCCAACAATGCTGGGATGGCAAGAATTTGATGAAGTTTGACAAAAATATTTTAGATAATAAAAAATAATTTCTATAGAATAATTCATCAGATGAAGGCTCTTTAGATTGGGACCCTATTGATGGAATGCATGCAGAAAAGCAGGTAAAATTCGATAAGGTTTTGAAGTTCACAGTGTTACCTACCAGGGAACGCGCCGACGGAAAATCAAATTCTCGATTTTCGAGAATCGTGAATTCCCGAAAATTTCGAATTCACGATTTTCGTGAATCGGGTCGGCGTTACCTACTCGATTACTCCTCCCAAGGAATTGTTTTTTTAATAATCCCTAGGATTGGGGAATTTTATTCGGCTGTGGGGAATTGAGTTAATAATGAAATATTGAGAGTTAAGAAAAGGAAGGTATGAGGGGAAGGAGGATTAGGAATATACTTGGATTTTTTTATCCAATGAATCATAAAATAAAAAAATCCTATTGTAGAAGCCTGTCAGTCAATTAAAAAAGATTTTTGATGAAAGCGAAGCAGGTACTTCAACAAATTCGAGGCAGGGTTCTTTAATGAAAAGGGATAGCCAACAATGAGGGTGATAATTTAATTTTTGTTTAAATTTTGTTTTTTAGATTTCCTTTATGTATGTATAATTTCTTTGTATTTGCATTAATCTATTTATAAAATTAAAATACCTATTCGTTCTTGAAAGCTGGTTTTAAAAAAATTATTTAATGATGTTTAACTGGGGAATATGGATCCCCAATTGTTAGAAATAGAGTTACAACCCGAACGCGCGGGGGCGGGTTTGTCGGGGTACGGGGCTTTAGAATTGTTTCGCGACGGGTTCGGGGAGATTTTGATCTTTCGGGAACGGGGGTTTCTAGTTAGAAAACTCTAGTTAGAAACCGGCCAAATGCCAAGATCAATGTATATTATTTCAGCCAAAATTTGTTCATGGCTTTAAATTCTTTTAAATTTCCCCATAAATCCTCAGTTTTTTAATTCAAAACTAAACCCACCCAATGTTGTTAAAATTCCAAATCCATAAAGAAAAGCATTCCGGAAGTTCCAGCTTTGCCTTCTTCTGTCTTCTACTGGGTCGTAAATGCCAATAAGACATTCCTCTGCAATCTTTTTACTTTTCAACAATTTTGAGTGATTGCTTAAATGGGAAAAAATCGGAAATTTAATATCCTCCTAATATTTAGCTTAAAATTTTTTTAATTAGCACGATACTTATAGATTAATAAATTTGATATTATAGTGGTAAGGCTTATAAATATGGTTGTCCAATAATATATGCAGCGAAAAAGCCCAAAATATGCACTGAAATATGCAAATAGGTATATGCATTTGAAGCAGTCTCCTAAATTGTTCAGAGCAATGTAAAAACACCATTTTGAGCTTATCCGCATAAAAAACATGCATTTGCACAGAGTTTCTTTCCCCTTGTTCCCCTTCCTATTATTTAGAGAAAGGGCTAATTATCATCTCTAATTCATCACAATTAAACTTTATTTTAATTTAAAATCTTTCCAAATTTAAAAATCCACCTTCGTAAAATAAAATCGATACAATCAAATTTCTTTTCGATCAATTTGTCCCATTCCTCAAGAGATTTTTCACGTTCAAAATAAAGAAATGCAACACCTCCAAAAAGTGAATAAAGAAACAAAAGAAGGAAACAGCTGATATTTGCTAATAATTTTTTCCAAATTGACGAAATGTACATTTTTAGATTTAATTTTGAAGAAAAATAAATTTAAAAACAGAAAATGGAATTTAAGAAGAAAATAAATTTTTTATAAAATTTTTGGAATAAAAGTGCCTTTCCTCTTTTAAAGAACAAATTTATAATTCAATTGTTCTCCAAATCCTTTGGGAGAAACGGCAAAGAGAAGAAAGGATTAAAAATGGCAAGAAAGACATGACTCATTTTTGGCGTTGAAAGAATTTTTGGGTTAAATAAGAATACATGAATTTTAACAAAAATGTCACGAAATGAAAATATTTAGAGACAGAATAATGGGAATATATGTAATTATTTTGTGGCTACTTCAAGCATACCGTATATACCCTCTATAAATTGCCTCCCCTCCACCGAGAGGTTAAAACAATAATTACCCCCCCCCCCCCCCAAAGGCCCGATCAAATTTCGAACCTCGAATAATTGCCAACTCTTTCTGATAACTACTCCACTAGCGAGAAGTTAAAACAATAATTACCCAGATAATTTTTCAAGGGAATACGGTACCAAACTCGTTTCCTTTATTCATTCAAATTAATTTTCTAGTTTTGTGAAAAATTTTTTGTTGGAAAATTGGCGTTGTGTAAATTAAAAAAACAATTTCGATCCTTTCAGCAAAAGAAGACTGAGATAATTTGTACTAGCAATATAAAAAAGTCACGCTAAACTATAATAATAAATAAGAATTTCTTTTATACAGCAAAACACAATTTAATATACTACATACAGAATGAAGCCATACAATATAGACAAAGATGAACTTTAAATTAGACGTTATCTCCTCTTTCTTTTGTGCAGTTCACAAGTAGGCGACCCCTTCACGCATCCCTTCAAAGTAGGCGCTATTATTACCAAGATAATAAGTATTAAGATAGCTGCCATGTTGATTACCACCTCGACGAGTAGGAGCACGATCCCCATTCAGATTTTGAAAGTTTTCGCCATTAGTACCATGATGAGGAGCGCCATGATATGGAGGATAGGTAACATTAGGATTTTCGCCAGAAGGATGAGCAGGAGGAAAGTAGACACTGGTATTACCATGCGGAGCACTAGGGTATCTGACATGAATTTCTAAATACATAAATTAGGTACAATTACATAATAGTAAAAGATACCGTTTCCGCGAGAAGTGCTATAATAGCTGACATGAAGATTTTCGCCAGAAGGACGAGCAGGAGCACCATCCATATTCAGATTTTGAAAGTATTCACTGGTATCAGCATGAGAAGCGGTAGGATAGCTGACATTAATGTCTAAATGGACACTTATTAAGCACACTAAATATTAGTAGGATACCGTTTCCACTGGAAGCTCCAGGATAGCTGACTTGAAGATTTTCACGAGGACGAACAGGATGAAAGTAGACGCTAGTATTATCACGAGGAGCACTGGGATAGCTGACTTGAATATTTTCTCCATAAGCACGAGCAACAGGAAAATAGGCACTATTATTGACATGGTGAGGAGCTCTATGATAGGCAGGAATAGCTAAATAGAGAGAATTGAAAGAATAAAAATCTGCTCTGATAAAAGGAACCTCTAGCAGATGGCACTCTATTCTCTCCGAAGGCTCTTGCAGCATATGCTTAAAAATAGAGATTCTTTTCAAATTAATAAGCTCTTGATTTACCTCCTGTTCGGGGATCGCCTACACGACCAAGGTAGACTGACGCGTTGCCACCATGTACTTGACCACCGCCAAAATACGCAGACTGCTCCATGGATTTGTGAAAAGATGTTGTAGTTAACTGTAGATTGTATTTGCTCGAAAGGTAATAATGAGTCAGAAGATCCTTGGCTTTTATATAGCCTATTATATCGAACAACGAGATTTAACTTCATAGCTTGTTTTTAATTTTTATAATTTTCTTTCAAGTTTTAATCCTTCAAGGAGTTTTGTTCCATTTACACTGGATCTCTCCTCTCTCAAGTTGCAGTCGTCGCTCTTGTTTCAATTGAATCAGCGGTGATCAAAAGAAACAAGTTCAGAACTACAAAACGCAAGAACAAAGTCAACACAAAACGCACAAGGTGCAAATTTGTGCTCACCCCTGATTTTTGTGTCCACCCCTGATTAGAATATACTGTATATCCTTTAATAACTACCCTGGGTAATTATTGTTTCGACCTTCCCCTGGAGGGAGTAATTAATAGATGTATTCATTAACAGGAAGAAAAATAAGTTTCCATAAATATAGAATCTATTCTATTCAAAAAACTCACATCCTTACTAATTGCTTAATTAACACCTAATTTTATTTTGAATTAAGGTTTAGTTATAATCCCGAAAGCATTTAAAGTAACACTTAATGATATCAAAATCTTAATTTTTTTTATTATTTTTACTAATGCATTTCCTGTTTTTTCGAATAAAAAAAACCTTCTAGTTTTTGAGTGGTTTTATATCCATCTTTTAATTTTCTTACTTAATTTTCTTACTATAGAAGGATTAAAAGATGCCAAACTTGTCAATTTGTTGAAAAAGAGCTTGGCTAAAAGCTTTATTTAATAATTGTTATTGAAAATTTTATTAAAGTTTTTTTCTAAAATATACTATACACTTCTCGAGGTTTAATTCACAGCGAGATTTAAATGTGGGTTAGGTTCTTCTTAAATTTGGAACTTTTTAATGATAGGTTGAGCAAAAGAGTCGAAATCCGACTGGGAGCAGGCTTAAGTTCCGCAGAGCTATAACTTTGTTCAAAATTGTCGAGTCCAGGACGCTGAGGTATGTCTTTATGCATCTCGAGGAGCTGAATCGAACCATACTAGGGCATAATAGCTTTGCGCTACGTTGTGATTTACCTATCGGCACTAGCACTAGTGCCGAAACTAGGATTGATGATTGAGGCTGCCACATCTTTTTCGATAGCGGACTGCTTTGATTCGGACCAATCTCATTGACCTTACAAAATTCCAAAGTATTATACCCGAAAACATTATCAATAAAATGATTATTCTTTTTCGGGAACACAAAATTAAAATAAATTATTTAGATGAGCTGCCATTATAAAGTAACAATCCCACATTCTCCGATTTTTACTTTATTTTTCTTTATTATTATCTCACTTTCTCCAAATGCTGCCAATATTGTAAAAATTGCCCATTTACAGCCAAACAATCCAGCAATTGTACACGAACCTCAGGTTTTGAAAATGTGTTCAAACAACTTGAAGGAACGGAAAATTCTTCCGGATGTTATTAGTTTTGAGTAAAGAAAGAATATTTTTTGGATATTAAAAATATTTTCTTAGTGTATTTACAATGGAATCTTGTAACCGCTATAGTGGAGTGGAACACGCCGCCTACCTTCACTATGTCCGCAATGCTAGTGTTTATTTTGGTCCGGGATGCAATAATGGTGTGTTATTTTGGTTTTGTTAGGGTGGTGTTTTTTAAATTATGAACTGGGTTTTCAAAATTATTTTCTAAACTCAAAAAATCAGCTTTTGAGTAATAAAATCTCCGATTATTTACATAAAACGAGCTTATCTACATCCTAGCCAGGGGTCTATATGAGATAAAGATATAATTGTAAGCAAGGTTCATCGTTCCAAGATTGGTATACAGTATTTACTTGATTAATTCCCCTCCCTCGAATAATTCCTCCTCTCGATCAATTCCCCATGCTAGAGTTGGGTTGAAACAATAATTCCCCACCCCTAATACCCTACTGCACGTTCAAATGCCAAAACTCGAATAATTCCTCTCCCTTGAATAATTCCCCATGACACGAATGGGTTGAAAAAATAATTCCCCAGGGGAATTAATCGAGAAAATACGGTCACTGACTCACGTAACCTGACTTCTTCCATTTTATCATTAAAAATTTTACGAAGCCAAATTAAGTATTTTTTGTAATTATAAATTTATTACAGAAATTTTGGTTATTGGCAGACTTGTCTCTCGTTGGAATGGTTATTTTATTTCTTGAATAAATTTAAAAATATTCACAATTTAAATTTTAAAGTTCCAATCGTTGCTCACATGTCTGGAGACGATGCACTTTCCGATAGAAGCGGTGTTTTTTAATAGGAGATTTTTTACAACAAAAAATTTTCTCTAGTTTTTGACACCTTGAGTTCTGTAGCTCTCACTTCAGCAACAGAAATGGCTCGTGCTACACTAACTTTTCTTCAACTTTATGGGTGGAAACAAGTAAAAGAAATATTTAAATAATTATTTAGAATTCTAAACTAGGTTGGCCTAGTTCGTTCAAATGTCAACTTTGACCGGTTATCTCTACATTCCCTCAAAAATTATTTGAAAGATGCCCAGATTGATATCAACATTGAAATTGAATTGGACCCTTATATGACTCCAGACGAGATTATTGCTACAGGGAGACTTAAATTGCTTAGAAATAGAGCTAGAAGTAAGACAGAAAATTTAGATTTTATATGGCCAAGAAAAAATTAGAAAGCCTAAATTCATTTTTTTGATGATAGGACAAATGATAGACCCCTAGCTTAGTCCCGAAATTCTTTCTAAGCCTAAAGGGCTGGATAATGCAATTTTTAAATTTAATTTTGTAAATGTGATCTATTAATTAATTTTTAAAATTTAGTTATTATTGTTGAAATGGGTCTGGATTTACACACTAACCGTGCTTTTATGGTTGCAATCCATCGTACCCAATTAAAGACAAATGGTATGGAATTTTTTTAAATATTAATTAAGCACATTCAAATTACAGAATTTGTCTATATAATCCCTTGGCTAGCACATGTAAGACTTTAATATTTTCTTAATTTTCCAAAATTTTTCCAAAATAGATGCATGACCACTACCCTTGGGAAGCTAGCAACATTGACAAACTCGAAACAAAAATGGCTTTTGATGATACCATAGTTATTACTGTAAGCTAATAATCCCCTTCTATTTTTAATTAAACTTTAAAAAGGCACATGGCTACGACAAAAAATTTATTGAAGATTTTGAATTAAAATTTTCTAAAGTGACTGGGGTAATTAGCAGTCATGTAAGTTTGGAAAAAAAATTTTCTTGTTCCAAAATATTTTTAGTATGCTACACTTTCTTATATGTCACTTTATGATGCTTTATATTTGGTAAGTTAATTGAAAAATAGGAGATAAGAAATTAAGTAGATGGGGGTTTGATTATCTGATTCTTAGCAAAATTATTATTTTTGATAATAATTTGTTTTAAATAATAATTTATTTTATAACCAAAAAGTCTGGGATTTTTATTTTTGAAATTTGCAAAATACTCGATAGGCTGGAGACTGATTTTATAAAATAGGGGTATTCTTCTTGGCGCTAGCTTGCCGGAAAAACTTGGCATATGTCAAGCAGCTTTTTTCCGAAACTGGGGTTTTCAAGAAATTTTGGAAAATGTTGGATATTCGAATACCACCAGGGAGGATCTTAGGCTTCTTACTTTTAATAAAAATTGGATCAGAATTTATAAAAATAATTTTTTAAAGTACGGATTAGCTCTTCGAGATGCTTATGATGAAACAAAAAATGACAGTATTTATGTAGATGGATCTTTTATTTGGAAGAAAATGACTGCACGTCAATTCCTTGGTTTAGGCTAATTTTTCAACAAAAATTTTCCTTTAAATAAAGGTTCGACTGGCCAAGTTTTAATGAACAATAAAGCTGTCAGGGTGCCAAGTTATGCTACTTATTTAACAAAAAATGGGACAATGCGTATTGTTGTTGAACTTGAAGCTAGATTAGGTGATAAATTGAAATGTGCAGTGTCTGACAATGATTGTTCTGAACATGTGGGGTTTTGGGACAAAACGGCACTTTAAATTTTTTTAAATTTTAAAGGTGGCCCATGAGGTTAACAGCAATTTCTGGCATAGCTATGATGGGCATTTACCTACTGATATGCCAAAATGTGGTTTTGATGGAAGTATTTGTGATTATACAATGCTTTATGTTGCTATTGGAATTGTGCTCTTCTTCCTTAGTATGTCGAATATGATAAGATCTATTCGACACTTAACCATATATCTCCGGCCTTTTATTACTTTCCAACTGCGCGTTCATTCATTATTAATGTACCCTACGAAGAAAGCAAAAGATTTAATATTAGGTTTTCGCGGATTAGGGTTTGTCACGTATTTAGAGAAAAACAAGATTTTCGAATTTTCCTTCGAATCTTGTTCCGTGATGAAAAAAGTCCGGAAAAAAGTCTTATTTGGTTGATGTTTTCTCATCTTGATTCTTTCAGTTACAATTCCGATTGGCTATCTTCTCTACATCAAAGAGTGAAAATACAGAAATTAACTAAAAATTTGTTCTATTTTTTAGAAAAGAGAGAATGCTTTATGATATGACCTGGCGTATACCGAGAGAACAAATTCGTCTTTTGGAAGCTCGTGCTAGGACGAGCGTTTGTTTATTTATTTTTAATTTTTAGGAAATAAAAATTTAGAGAAGTGGAGGTTCGAAATCTTTTACAAGCGATTCTTTTACTGGAAGTGTTGAAACTGAAGTGGCTAATAGCCGTCTTAGTGCAAAACAGGCAAATGCTAATGGAGTGCGTTGTGCCTATAAAAGATTTAGACAAACAAGAAATATTAGTTTTAGTAAGGAGGAATTGTCACGTCTGAAAGAGGTAAAGATTGATAGATGATAACTATAAATCAGTAGAAGGGTCAAAAGATCCCCACAAAATTAGACTGAAATATAGAGTTGGCGGATCATGATATCCGAATTTTTTAAGATCTGCTAACGCGGATAAAAAAGGAGGAGGAGGAGGAGCTAAAGGAGCCCGATGGAGGAGGTGAAGAATCCCGACGGAGGATTTTTTTCTTTCTCGAGTAAAGGAGCCCGACACGGACCCCTTGAGATGAGCTACAATATGCCTTTCGATAAAAATAATCAAGAATAATTTATTCAAATTTAAGTTGAAAATGATTGAATTTGAAAATTTAAATAAATTTTATGGAATTTCCTTCAATCAACAAAATGAACTAATAATTTTATGGATTCTCTGTCAGAGAGGAAGCTTAGAGGTTAAAAAGATGTAAAATTTCTCTTTAATAAATTAAGTTAATTTAGGATATGCTGTTTAATGAAGAATTAAAAATTAGTCGGAATTTTCAAGTTTCGTTTGCCAAAGATGTTATTAAGGTAAAGAATTGTGAAAAATTAATTTGAGAATTGCGGAAATTGTTAATTTAAAAAAATCATCAGCTAGGAAGTCCAAAATATTGGATATCTATTTATGCCTGTAGCTTATCCAAAATAATGTTGGAATAATAAAATTTGGATTAAACAACAGCATAAGTTCCCCAATTACTCTCGAGTATTATCAAAAAAAATAATACTCGAAAACTAGACTCGAGTATTATCACTAGGATTGAGGTTTTCGAGTCGGGGCGACGTTCTATGTAGTCATTTTTTTCGGGCCGGCACGGCCCGACCGAGACTTTTTCGGGCCAAAATTGAATGCCCTACTGATCGGGCCCCCAGCACTAATTATTACTACTCATCTCCAAAATTCTCAATTCATATTTTAGTTGAGTAGGTTTTCCCCAAGATTATGTAGTTTTCCAAGAACATCACCCCTTTATTTATTAAATCTTCCCTAATGTTCACCTAATTTAACTTTTAGGGTCTCTTTTTTATCCACACATCAACTTTAAAATATCACGGCTTTCTTTGTCTACAAAATTGTCTCGTAGATTCTAACTGGAATGTTAAATTAACTAATTTTGTGACGGAACAAATAATTGGAGAAAAGCTTCGACATAATGAATTAAAATATATGACGGAATCTGTAATAAGAGCACAGAAAAAACAAATGCATAAAAAGGATCAAAAAGCGGATGAAAGGGAAGAGAAGGAACGTATAAAGAAAAGAAAGGATGTTGAAAATGAAAAACGGGAAAGAGTGGGGATTTGGGAATTTTTTAATTAAAGTTAATTTAAGGAACGTGAGCGACGCAAGAAAGACAAGAAGGACAGTGGAGATCAAGTAAATTCTATGTTATAAGCATGGGAGTATCGATGTTTGCATATATTTATCGTTATGTACAAAAGTCCGAAATATACAAAAATATGCATTCGGAATCGAGTCTTAGAGCCAAACTGAGCTTATTTATTTATATAATATTAGCATACATAAAGGCCCTAATAACATTTTAAATATTTTTAAATTAAAGGACAGTACGGAGGACAGTCGTACAATCTCTGACGAGGAATTGGAGCAATCCAAAAAAATTTATGAAAAATCGCATTTGAAAAGTATTGAAATTTAATTTATTATTAGTGAAAGATGGGATGTATTAACTTGGGGGTATCTCCTACACTTAATCATCTCCTACACACAAAAATGGGTCGGGTTGAGGATACTTCTCGGGTCGTGTTCGGGTCGGAACAAGTATCAAGCTTCGGTTAACCCGACCCATCTCTTCTCCACATACTTGGCTAACCAATTTTATGATAATCCTTAAAGTGAGATGTATCTAATTTTTGAAATATCTATAATAGTGAGATCAGAATCTATTCTTAAAAATATTTATTCATTTAAGAATATATCCAACAAGCACCAGAAATTATCAGAGAATTTATTTCTTCAAAACATTTACCTCAAGGCTCCCCGGCTTCTGATATGTATAGTCTTGGAATGGTTTTGTATCAAATTTTGTTTAAATTGGAACCCTTTTATGAGAGAAATATGCAACCCAAAAGTGGGATAAAATTAAGGAAAAAATAAATTTAATAATTTTTAGAAATTATGGAAAGAATTTCTCTTTCAAGTGAAAATGATCAAATTATACGTCCGACATTCCCCAATCAACGCAATATAAGTAATGAAGAGGGATATAATCTTCAGTTGCTTTCGGTATTTAAATTATAGTTTTTGAGAACAATTTTTGGATCTTTTACGGAATTTTCACGTTAATTCACTCTCATAAATAATTTTAAACCTGGTCAATTAATCGAGAAATATACGGTGAATAGAATAAATTGTCTATTTTTCTCCCATGTCTTATAGGAAAAGATGGATTTTAAGGTTTCAAAATTTGTCTGAGAACCTGGAAAGCGTCCTCCAGGTCTTCAGACTTTTGAGAAGTTTATGATTAGAAATGAGACTAGAATCAGAAATGATTATTAATATCCCGATATTCAAAAAACCTTTTTTAAAGGCAATAGAAGCCTGTTGGCTTGAATTACCAGAAATGCGTCCAAATATCAAAAGAATGAAAACAATGGTTAATTCAAATTTAAAATCAACGGGGAGCGGGTCTTTAGTCGACCAAATGATGAAAATGATGGAAGAATATACGACAAATTTGGAACAATTAGTTAAGGAAAGAACTCAACAATTGGAAGAAGCACAACAACAAGCTGATCGCCTTCTTAAAAATATGCTTCCAACGTTAGAATTTTTATAAAAATTTGCACCAAAATTTCGCTTACTCTGGAATTGCTCTGATATCTAACAAAAATTTCCGGATATTTATTCATATAAAAAATCTCATCCAATTATTCAGCTCATTTCGGATATCCCCAAATCTGTCACCTTAATCATTTGTTGATCGTTCCCCAATAAGTCAGTGAGAACTTTTCCGGGAATGAAAATGTCTGGAATGAACTGTCGGAGATCGGGGTAGAGAAATAGCCTAAAAATCGGAGTCGGCCTTTTCATGATGAAATGTTTGACTTTCACTTCTTTTTAATTTTACAGATCTGTCGCTGAGGACTTGAAAGCAGGACGTCCAGTCCTTCCCCAATACTATTCCAATACAACAGTCCTTTTCTCTGATATTCGAGGCTTTACCCGTATAGCTAGTACATCTACTCCTATACAAGTTGTTAGCTTCTTGAATGATCTTTTCTCTGGTTTTGATGCTATAATTGCTAAACATGATGCGTATAAAGTTGAAACTGTGAGGAACTTTGGAGGATTTTTATTTATTATTTTTGCCCTTATTTTCTCTTCCAACAGATTGGAGATGCTTACATGATCGTTTCCGGTGTTCCCCGTGAAAATGGAAATGCCCATGTCCAACACATTGCTTGTCGCCAAACATTGGCGACTTTTGGCCAATTTTTTACCCGATCATTTTTGGTTAATTTTTTCCTTGTTCACTGTTCATTTCTTGTCGTCCACTCTCCTTTTTTCAAACTTATTTGCCCGCCTAAATTCCTTTCATTTATTTTTGTGTCCGTTCGTACCAGCCACCCTCTGTTCTCTTACTTATTTTTTCCTATTGTTTTTGGACTTGGCTTCTCTGGCCGAGTCTTCTCTTCTGTTTATTTTTCTCTAGCTACTTCGCGCAATTTTTCAAACTTACATTTTTTCATTATTTTATTGCCAGACCCCGCCCTTATTTGCGCCTATTTAAGAGGTAGATCAGCCACCCAAATATCCTCATTCTTCTTCAACTTCAACAACCTTCAACTTAAATCGCGTGTGGCTGATCTGCTTCGCTGGCCCCTTGCTGGCCCTCAACTTGTTCGCCCTGATTGTTTATTGCTATTTGGAGAAATAAAATTGCTTTTTGTTGGACTTGTGTGTGTTTTTTTGGGTGGTTAAAGTGAACGTGCACCGTTCACTTCTGCTTTCTTGGTGAACCGCACTACGGTTCACCACTGCTATTCTTGGCTAGAGTTCACTGCCCTTCTCTTCCTTCGACTGTTGGCACTACCAACAGTCTGGTGCTAGTGCCACTATACACTAGCTGGTGCCACGACTCTTCCTCCTCCTCTCCAAACCATTTGTCGGGAACTCCCGACTCCCGACAAACTGGTGCCACGACCCGGGAAGACGGGGACGACGACAACAACTACCACTACTACTACCACAACAATTACCACCACTTCACCACAACAACAACTACTACTGCTGAATTGAGCTGAGCAACAGCCACAGCAACAATCACCACTACAACAACTTCAACTAGTGTGTGAGCGGAGCCACCGCCACATCACTCTACAACAACCACTCTATTTTTGTGTGTGAGCTGCACTACAGCCACCACCAAAACACTACTACACCAACTACTTCAACTTTGTGTGTGAGCGGAGCGACCGACACAACAACTTCAACTACTCGTTCTCTTTTTGGTTGGCTGAGAACAGTCACTACAACAACAACTACACTTGGTGGGAGGTGAACTACACTTGGTGGGAGGTGAACTACACCCACAATAATGTCAGCAGTGATCCGCCTTCAACTGGCAACCGTGTTGGCCACACTCAAGGACAAAGGACTTGCTGTTTTGGCCGCGTTAAATGCCAACAACACAACTGTGGAAGAAGATGATCGTCTAGAAGTGGAAGCGTTCCAACTCGAACAAGCTGCTGGAAGGGCTCAAGCACTGATGGATAAATGGTCAGACTTCATTGCCCGACTCATGCCAACGGAACAACAAGACGAAATGGACATTCTTCAAGCCTTCCCGCCGTCGAGAGGCGAAGTAAGAGAGGATGATGAACTCACCGCAGTGGCGCAAATTGAGCGGAGTTTGGAACTGGTGGTCCTGGTCAACGTATGCCTGCAGCAACGAAGAAACGGCGGTCGTGGTTCAGTCTCCTCTCAACGATCTGAGAAGTCCGCTAGAGTGATTGAGGACCAAACTGGTAATGCGCGACGACAGACGCAACACCCAATAGCGAATGGTCAACATGGTTACTCACCTGAACATCCTGATGGTTTTACACGACGTCCAACTCAAACGCGCATTAATGATCACCAAGCTAGAACTGGCAATGGAACAAGTGCCCATCACACCACCTCTGTTAGCCAGGCTGGATTTTCACCATACCAACAACAAGGAACATACCATGGTACACCACTCTACTCAACCTTCAGGCCATTTCGACTAGAACCGATGAAATTTGCTGGTGACCCTAAAGAATGGACTGCCTTTTGGATGGCTTTTGACCGTGCTGTCAACAGTCAACCTCTTCCACCGTTTGAGAAACACCTATGTTTATTGCAAAGTCTGGTACCTGGCTCTGCGGCGCACCGTGCAATTGATGGTTACCCACCGTCGGATGAGAACTACCCGATGGTGGTCAGCATACTCCGACACCAATTTGGAGATGTAAAAGCCCTACGCGAAGTCTTAATTGCTGAGTTGTTACACCTGCCGTTGGCCAACAATTCACTGTTCTCTATGCGCAATCTCCATGAACATGTTGAACGAATATGCCTGCAGCTCGAATCACCAGAGGGCTCAAACTCAATTCAGGATGAAATAGTGTGTGGCATCATCCGGTCAAAGCTACCACCTGAAGCTCTGGAGACTCTGATTGGCTGGGAAGAAGACGAAAATGCTGAATGGACTCTGGCTGAACTCCGCAAGGGACTTGGACGTCTGGTTCAACTCAAAGAGCGATTGGAGCTCACCATCACCACTCTTCGTCCAAACAAGTTGGAACAACCAACCATGCTTGAGGAGCAACCTCACTACAGCCAGCCGACTGAACGAAGTGATCACCATGAGCCAGCCGACGTCTCTCGTGCATTTATGGCTACGCAATCAACTGGCCCAATTGAAGCTCAGCATGCACTACATGCTCGTCCAACGCAATCACCAAACCAGCCTGTCGAACATCATGCACTACCTGGTCGTCCACCACAATCACCAGTTGAGGAATATGGTTGTTCACTGTGCCACACTGGGCCAACACACAAGCCAAGCCGTTGTCCAATGTTCAACACACGCCAGAGACGCAAAGCTCGTCTTCTTGACCAAGGCCGATGCCTCAACTGCCTATATGATGGCCACCTGCTCAACAAGTGTCGTGCTGCCAACAAGTGCCGTAGATGTGGAGGCCGACACCACTTCATGCTATGTGTACAACGTCAAAACAAAAAGCGTGTGTACTACCCAACTGGTCAACATGTTGGACCATTTAACTCAAACTGGAGGCAACCCCAATCTGAAAAGCGTGTGTACTATCGGACTGGCCTCCACAAAGGATCATCCGAATCAAATTGGAGAGTGCCTACATCAATGCAACCTGAATTGACCTACTCTGGAATGGTCTTCACTAGCCCACTCAACGACTCTAAAGCGGACTCCAAGTCGTTAACCAGCTCAACTGTGCACAACAGAAGAACCAACCGTCAACTTCGACGCAAAGTGTGGTTAAATTCTAAGCTAAAAGCCAACCTGCTCAAATCTAAAAATGGTCAAGAGACTCCTCCAACTGACAATGGGCCTAATAGTTTCAACCGTTCCAATCGTGTTTGTTCAATATGCTCGTGGCGCATCAACAAAATCAACGCTGGCTTTACTGCCCCCTTCAAATGCTCATCTATGCATTTTCTGTTGATGCTGGCCCTTCCAATGCTTGTTGGTATTGCTAGTTGGTGTACACAGCAAGTTGCTCAAAATGCTCAACTAAAGCTTTTGCGATCAATAATGACTTCCGAGGATGGAACCTCGTCATCTGCCACTGATCAAACGTCTACGAGCTTTTCTAACGCTGGTAAATTTTTGTGTGTTACCCAAGCTGCGACTACCGCGACTGTCACGTGTAGAATTACCGCGGCTGCTACTGAAGGAATTACCGAGGCTGCTACTGAACAAATAACTAGAAGTTGTTCTACCGCTGCAAAAATAAATGTGTGTGCTAACCGAGTGGGAATTATCCAGGCTGCCGCAACCAAAACAAACAAAAATCTATTATCTGAGTGCACATTACGACGTCGACCATGGAAAAGTTGTTCATCACGACAAGGACACCCACAAGAAAGCCAGGTCGTGGAGTGCCGCCCCTCACCAAAAGCTCTCAAAAGGGGAAATCACGAAAGGGCACTCCACCACCATCATCATTGCTCTGGACCACACCATGCACCCACGCAATGTGCTGTCAACCCGTCTTCGGCACTGAAGTAGAATCGCACTGTGGCTCTCGAATATGGCAGATGAAAGATAACTAAGAATTTTTTGTGATTTTTGTCGGGCGGGGGGAGTGTCGCCAAACATTGGCGACTTTTGGCCAATTTTTTACCCGATCATTTTTGGTTAATTTTTTCCTTGTTCACTGTTCATTTCTTGTCGTCCACTCTCCTTTTTTCAAACTTATTTGCCCGCCTAAATTCCTTTCATTTATTTTTGTGTCCGTTCGTACCAGCCACCCTCTGTTCTCTTACTTATTTTTTCCTATTGTTTTTGGACTTGGCTTCTCTGGCCGAGTCTTCTCTTCTGTTTATTTTTCTCTAGCTACTTCGCGCAATTTTTCAAACTTACATTTTTTCATTATTTTATTGCCAGACCCCGCCCTTATTTGCGCCTATTTAAGAGGTAGATCAGCCACCCAAATATCCTCATTCTTCTTCAACTTCAACAACCTTCAACTTAAATCGCGTGTGGCTGATCTGCTTCGCTGGCCCCTTGCTGGCCCTCAACTTGTTCGCCCTGATTGTTTATTGCTATTTGGAGAAATAAAATTGCTTTTTGTTGGACTTGTGTGTGTTTTTTTGGGTGGTTAAAGTGAACGTGCACCGTTCACTTCTGCTTTCTTGGTGAACCGCACTACGGTTCACCACTGCTATTCTTGGCTAGAGTTCACTGCCCTTCTCTTCCTTCGACTGTTGGCACTACCAACAGTCTGGTGCTAGTGCCACTATACACTAGCTGGTGCCACGACTCTTCCTCCTCCTCTCCAAACCATTTGTCGGGAACTCCCGACTCCCGACATTGCTGATATTGGATTAAAAATGCGATCGGTTTTGGGCACTTACACAAATAATTTAAATTTCTTTTAGTTTGTTTCAAATTTTAAATTAGCTCACAAACCAGACGAAATAATGATGGTTATTAATTTTTAAAATTAAAAGATTGCATCGAAAATTCAGGTCAGAATCGGGTTTCATAGTGGGCCTGTCGCTGCGGGTGTTGTAAGCTTTAATTAAATTTTAACAGAAATTTTCATAAATCAAATTTTAGGTAGGTTTGGCAGCTCCACGCTATTGCCTTTTTGGTGATACTGTAAATTTTGCTTCGCGAATGGTTTTTTATTGTTTAATATTTAAATAGTAATTACTTAATTTTGAAGGAATCAAGTGGAGTTGCCAACAAAATTCAGGTAAACTAATTCCTAAAAAATTTGCAGTTCTCATAAGAGGATTTTATAATTTTATTCTAGTAATTTTATTCTAGACCCGCACTATAAAATAAAAATAAATTTTTAAATTAAAAAGAAATTATATCAAATATTTTATTTATTATAATCAGAGGTGTTTCGAAACAAAAAAATCTTCGAAAATCGAAAGAAATCCAAAAATATCGAAATCGAAAATATTTTTCAAAATCTTCGAAATCGTAAATCGAAAGAAAAATAACCTCGAAAATCAAAAATCGAAAAACGAAAATCGAAAAAAAAATTTTTAATAAAAAATTTGAAAATTAATTTTTGTTATGTTAGGTCTCAAGTGGATCTCTCATCATGAGATCTGTGTGGATTAAGAGGGATAATGGAGGATTTGAGTAAAATTCTCTAATATAGTAAAGCAGAGCTAGGTCGCTTTACTTATGGTTGGGCGGTACCTGGCATAGGGTTCTGGCATGAGGAAGGGGCTTCCAAATCCACCTTAATTCAAGCAAATACCCAATAACCGGAGCCGAAGCATAATATTGTTAATAGATCAGGGCTTCCTCCAATTAGCGCCGCGGGCGAAAATTTTGAGAATTTTGGAGCATCGTTAAGCCAAAATCTTCTTTTTTCTGCGCCGCAGGCGAAAATTTTTTAAATTTATGATGGCCGATAAGCCAGAATTCCTCATTTTTGGCGCCAAAAATTCAAATTTTTTCAAAAATTCGGAAATCGAAAATCGAAAATCGAAAGGAAAAAAATCGAAAATCGAAATTTTGAAACACCTCTGATTATAATTTGTCTGCTTTAATAAAAAATTAATTCTATAGATCAGTGAGAATTCCTACAATTTACTTAAATGTTTTTATCACCATTTTGTGGTTGCTGAACGAGGAAAAGTTGAAATTAAGGCAACTAAATATTTTAAATATTTTTTAATCTCTTAATTTTTAAGGGAAAGGGTGAAGTAACAACTTATTTTTTGGAAAGTAAAGAATTAAATAATTATGGACGTAAATTCTGATGTTTATAAGAAAAATTTAACAGAATCTCTTTTTGACTTTAATATATTTTTGGGAAAATTTTTAAATTTTTTTCTAGTCATACTATTTTTGAATTTTTGGGATAAAAATAGGAGAAATTTTCTCGATTAATTACTTGATTTTATTTATACACCTCTCGATTATTTTCTCTTCCTCAATTAATGTCCTTCTCCAGGACAGTCTAAACAATACTTGGCCAGTGTAATTATCAAGTGAATATTATTTTTCGGTATTATTTTTAATCTGTTGGGTTAATCTGTCTGCTTAATCTCTTAATATACTCGGAAAATAATTGTTGATTTTTCCGTTTGGTTCACGATACAGTTGTCTAAGGTCGATTTTTTCTCTCTCTTTATTCTGTCATTCGTTGCCCCCCCCTTTAGATATTTTCCCAAAAAACAACGCAGCTTCTGAATCCACAAGATAATTTATTCTAAATTATTAATCGGTTGGTTATAGTGTATGGATATTAAAAGTTGAACAAAATAATATTTATGATTAGTATACGGATTATTTAAAATTTATCTTTATTAATTTTTTGACTAATTTTTCTTTTTACACTGAATTTCGTCGAATTGCCGAACATTTTCCTCCTTTGTTCAAATTATTTTCCTTTGTCTCCTTAAAGGTCCTAAATATTTTTTATTAATTCATTCAACAATTATTTTTAACAATTATTTGTTACGAATCAAAGCTATAAAATCTAAGTTTGATCCAGAGTTGCTTTGAAATTTCTAATTTCGATTTCAGAATTCTTTGTTTCGAAGTTGCTCGAACCCCGTTATGGTAGGAATCTGTGAATTTTCCTTTGAACTCCCGCGTCTCCTGGAAGGAGATAAATACTTGGACCACGCTATAAGACACAGGTCGGAAAAAATCGTATCTTACATATAATCAAGTCTATTCTAAGTAGAAGGTACGAAGCTCCCCATGCTTAATTAAAATAACTTATCCTAAACATATAGCCACATTTAGCTGTATTTAATAATGAGATTCAACTTTCTAGAAATAAATTAAGAGTAAAATAAAGACCATTTTGTGTTGAAATCCACCAAACTTTTACTCTTCTTTTTTGGTTTTTCTTTCTTCTTTTCCTTTGCTTCATTCAAAACTTCATTATAACTTTTCACGCTTTTTCTCCAATTGCCTTCAATTCCTTCTTCCATTTTTTTCTTTCTTCCCTTTTCATTTTGTCCTGCAGTGCCATTTTTTGTAGACCTTGCTTTTGGGTATTTATAGGCTAAAAATTTAAAATTTTATTTTACATGGTGCCGAGACGCTAGCCTTACTCTTCATTCCCTTTTCCTAAATATTGTATACTTGAACTTATCCATTGCTTTCGGGACTAACATTTGAAGGAAAATGATTTGTGGGTTGAGGTCAAACAAATCAGAAATACACCCATCAGTACGGAGATGAGGTGGAAGTACACCAGCTAAAACCTTTTTCAAATCATGGCTACGGCTCCGTGCATTTCCAAATATTGGCCTCGATTCCGGCCAGAGCTAGCTCTCGGAGTCATACCCAACATTACTTCAAACTCACCTTCCTTTTCCTTAACCACTTTTGACCTATCTCTCCAATTTTCCACTTTATCACTTTCATTCAGTTTTATTTCTGTTTTACCATCATCTTCTGTTGTGTCATCATATTCATCCTCACTAGCTGTGTAGCTAAGTAGAGCTGAACGGGTAGTCCATTCGCGAAGCTTTAATGTAAATTTAATAATTAACTCAGTCAGAATCTTCCCCTTAATCCCCCCTCATTCATTCTCTCCTCCTTCTCTCCTTCCCCCACCCCCCCCCCCCCCCTCCTCCAACCAAAAATATTCCCTGCAACCCCCCCTCCAATAAAAAAATTTCCAAACTTTTTTCAAGACGTCCTCCTTTTCATTAATAACTTGTTTTCCTTTTTTCTCTTGAATCTCTTTTCCAGCATCTCCTCCTTTGCCTTCTTTATTAGCCTGTGCTGTACTTGCCTTCTTTCGTTGTCTAGAAGAAGCGCCAAAAGTTCCTCGTTTGTCATTATTTGGATTAATTATTATAGAATTACTGTTATTATTATCTCCAAAATTATTTGGAGTGCTAGATCGAGTAGAGGAGTTTCCCAAAAATTTGCTTTGTCGATTATTAGGAGAATAACCGTTTCTTCGCTTATTTTTGTAATTATATGAACGAAAACTGTAAAATATAGGGAAGAATAAAAATTTACTTGAACGGCTCGGCTCAGGTCTCGGCTCAGGCCAACTGACTATATTAACCCTAGAAACAAAGACCCTTGTAGTAACAATGGAAACCTTAAGGCCTCTTTTTGCCGAACCAACCCATTCAAGTCACTAAAACTAATTGAGGCACCAACTTGTAATAAGGTGGGGATGATTCATAACGATTATTATTAAAATTTGAATAATTATTGTTGTAATTATTATAATAAGGCTGAGGAAGAGGATTATTCTGATAATGTTTTGGTTGACAAGACTTTATTATTGTAGTAGTTGTATCCGTATTTGTAGTAATTATAGTGTCATTACAGCAAACTTCTTCATATCCTTCATGTCTTCGAATATTTGCTTCCTCTTCAACTATTGTGTTATGGTTTATGAATTGGCCAAATAAATTGCGAATGGCTGGTGAATAGCTATCACTTTAAATTTTATTTATTATTTTGATTAGGCGAAAATATTTGCTATTTTTGATTAGGCGAAAATATTACTTTGATTAGGCGAAAATATACTATTTTTGATTAGGCGAAAATATTTTGATTAGGCGAAAATATTTTGCTAATCAAGCCTAATGGGTTAGCCATAATCGTCGTATTATCGTTCAATCCTTGCGGATATCATTATCAAACACCAGAGCGTCCTAGACTTTTGTCCTTGAGTCTTGACTCATACCTTTCTTGGTGTTGTTTTTAGTTTAAGAAGAGACTGAACTAGGAAGGTCGTAATAGAATCGATAGCTTGTAAATATCGACCTAGGTAACCGAGATTTTTGTTCGAGATCTCGACTCGGTCCTTTCTCTTTCTTTAGACATGCTCTAATCATTTCCTATATTGGACATTTCCAAAATTGTATTTACCTATATTCTTTCAATAGAGTTAAGCTTGCGGAGAGGTAAAAGGCGATTATAATTTTTAACAAAAGAGCATTCCCCAAGATTGTTACGAATGCTAAACTCTAAACCGAACCAATTAGCATTATTTCCACCCCGTCCATAAATCGGCATTCCTGTTAATGGTTGATTCATATGTTGTTGACTATTACCTCCAATTATCAAATCACCACAAAAATGATTGGCTTCTTCTGGTACCACACTTCTAACAAACCCTAAAGCTTGTACCATTCCATCAAACTTTTCCTCAATTGCATTTAATTTACAAAATAATTGTTTTTGCATTGCATCAAAACGGTCCATCAATTTTTGCTCTGATTTCTGAAAAAATTTTCTTTCGTAATTTTCTTTCCCCTTCGAATTATAGATGTTCCTTTCGAACTATGGATGTTTCTTCGGATTATGAATATTGCCCAATGTTTTCCATAGGTAATGCGGTAAATTATAGTTTCGAGGAAGGGAAGCCGGGATGGGGATTAAACCATAATTGGAAGTGATTTGAACACTAATTCGATAAAACTAGGGATATAGGCTATCAACTATTTTAATAAAATTAAATTATTGCCTTCCACAAATTAGAAAAAATAGCGTAAACATCCACCGGTATAATCTTTTCTCGCACATTTTCCGCCACTTAAATTTAAAGTTTAAATATCTATCTGCATATCATATTCTATAATTTACCTGTTTCACTTTGCAAATTTTGTTCAGCCATTTTATTTAAAAAATATTTAAAATCTAATTAAAAATTAAATGCTATCTAATAGACAAAAATTTAATAATTAAACTTGATATGGACTTAATGTATTATCGGGAGGATATTTTGGGTTTTTCTAATCTTACTTTTTTCCTACATATGTATTTTAATAGCGATTTATAAAATAGCTTAATGTAGCAATCCTTGTTAGAGAAAAAGCTCCCATTATTGTTTATTAAGAATCCTGCCCATAAAAAATAAATTCCCGCTTTCGATAATTGAGATTCCGGGCCCAGAAAACATCGGGAATTCCCGATTTTTGGGAATCGGCAGTATCCCTGCTGTATACTCTGATTTAGTAGGCCATCACTTTACGATTTCTTAACCCCACTAGAATACTCAAGTGAGATTTTATTTTATTGAAACTTCAATTTTCTATTATAGCATTTAAAATTTTAAAAAAAATTTGAAAAATCAGATAAAATTAACTAAAATAATTGTGTTTATTGGTTGTATTTCAAATAAATAGAAGCAATATTTAATTTGTTAATATCAATAAATGGTTGTCATTATTATGTACATTAAAAAGTTAATTAAATATTTATAATTTAAAAAATTTTGTTAATTTACTTGAATCATCTGAGAGAATTTTAATATAAATATCCCAAAGTATTTTTTTAATTTTTTACTTTTTTCCCAAAAATTTTAAATGACTAAGTATGTAAAATAAAATAATTTGTTAGAGAATATAATTATAGAATTTATTAAAAATTTATTTTTCTAATTAGATTTTATGGTGAATCATAAAATTATAAAAATTCATAAAAATGTGTATAATTATTTTTTAATGTAAAAAATGAAATACCATATTTTTTTGAATAATTACTCTTGGTAATTAACCCTTAACTGGAGGTTGAAAATTTCAAACTTTGCTGAAGGTTTGATAATTGAGCGCAAATTAGAGATTTCGAGGGTGGATGATTATTTTTTGAACCTTTCTATGAGAGAGGGGAAGGAGTTAAAGCAAATGGTATAATTTAATTTAGGAAAGTTCGAGTGAATACAGTATTTTACTTTTTAATAAATTATAGTAATAAAATCGAGAAGTATGAGTATGTAGATTCAGAAAAGTGAAATATAAACAATTTGGCAGAAAAATATTTTTTGTTCCATTAAAATTTGCATTCCTGAAATTAATAAAGCAAAATTAAAGTAAATCGAGGTGATTTTCCGTGCCTATTTTTTAACAACCTAGACTGTTAAATTCATTTCCGGGCCAAATATCTGATAGATTTAGAGCGCATTGAAAACTCTATTTGTCAGATTATGGCAACTCTAATGAAAGCCATTTAACACGAAGGCCCTGATAAAGGCCTCTGAACTTTTATTTTTTGTGGGTCACATTGAGCGGGTTTCTAGTAGCGCATAAGCTACTATTATGGATAAGCTTTTATTGGAATATCTACAGTATATGTCCTCCACATGTAAGAGAAAGGATACCAAAGAGCAAAATAAACTCACCGAAGTTGAATTTCCTAGAACTTTCATTAAAAGTTTCTTCAACTTTTTTTGATGCATTTCAATCTTCTTTTCGATAATCTTTAAATAAAAATATTTTTTAAATTCATTTTTTTAATTAACAACTTGTTTTATTCGTGATAATTCTCTTTCTTCTGACTCCATTGTTTGCAATGCCCTGTCATATTTTTCTAAAAGTGCGTGCCATGGAGCCATTTTAGTGTTAACTATCTTTAAATTTATTCGAATGTTTTAAGAAAGTTTTTTTATTTACTTCTGTCAGGAAACTTTTTTGAATGTTTATAGATAGCATAAAGTCAAAAAACCTTGAAAAATTTTGGAATCGAGTATATCGGGGCTAATATTGCCTTATATAAAACGAAAAATTTAGAATGTATCAAAGAATGTATCCTCCGCTAAAATGTATTTTTATTGTATCTTCCACTAAAGTATCTCCTATTAGAAAGTATCACGGTCAGTAAATCTTATGGCACTTCCATTCAAATCCCATAATTAAGCTACATATTAGGGTTGTAAATAGAAAATCAGGTAATTTAAGTTTTTCGAAAATTTCTAACCCCTCCCTGTCGAAAAGTAAAATTAATTAAGGATTCCTGTCTAAGGGGAACTCGGCGTATGAGGCTTCTATTAATTAAAAACCACTCTTAACTTCAAAGAAATTTACCTCAATTACATCATCAACCCAATCAGCAATTACAAAAATTTTTATAAAAATTGTACAAAATGTTAAAATTAAAATAAATAAAATTTGTCTCATGCTTGAGCATAAAGATAGGGAGAAATTATTGATATTTATTTATTAAAAAATATTATTTTATTATATTAATTTAGGGACTTTTTTAGAAAGAAAGAAGAATATTTTTGTTTTATTGTATTTATTTGTGTTTGTTTTTCCCCAAAATGCGCGAATATGTATTTACTTTAATTTCTGGAAATAATTTTTTAAACAAAAAACAATGTTTTTGAGGAGAATATTAATTATTTTATTATTTTATTGATTTTATTTAATTAAAAAATATATGTAATTAATGGCAAGAATAAATATAAAAAAATATTTGACTAGATCTTTACATAAATTTATGAGGCGACATTTAAGAACACAATATTTGGGAATATATGACAATTAAAAGGGATCAGAAGTTGTTGGGAAGAGATAAAGAGAAGTGTCTAATTTTATAAAAACAAGCTAGTAATTGTCATTAAAATGATACAAAGTTTGAAAAAAAATTATGGTAATGAAGTAAAGTTATGGCCCAAAAACTAGGGAATTTGGCCGAAAACTTATTGGAGGACATAACTTTTTTTTAATTGTTCGATTTTGAGTTTATTTGATTTAAGCCTATTTTGAAGCTTAATTTTTTGAAATTAAATATGAATATTTTTAAATACATGTAAGCAAAAGTTGGGATCAATATCCTCAAATGTCGGGTTCTCAAAGTCGTAGTCTATAAAATCTGATAAAGATATCAAAAATTAAATATATATATTTATTTTCCATATCCATAAAGTAAAGGATTGAGCATTGCATTCATTACTATTAAATCTTCTACAAGTAAAGCTCCTTTCTCTACAAACGTTGAATAAAGAGATTCATCACTAAATCGCAATAAATTGAGCACTAAAAATTAATTAATTAAAAAATAGTATTTTAGTTGATAAAAGGAGTTAGAGCCGACTAAATTCACAAGGAATATTGACGGCTCGATTCATTATTCAAATAAGGACTAGTTTTTTATGATCTTAGGGTCTAAGTGTATTAAAATTAATCAGAAAAATTTATGCTCAATATCCTTAGTTAATTTTCAAAAGTCGGGAAGAGAAAAGGGAATTTATCAACGATACATATTTCAGGGAACAAGGAGGCCCTCAATTTAATTATCATAATTTTAGAAGTTATTGCTTCTTATTTCTTTTTTGTCCTTTATTTAGGCTGGTGTTAATTAGGTCCAAGATTTTATTAGTCACTATTTGATAGTTGTTTTTGATTCAATTTTTTGACAGTAATTTGGGTCAGTCTGTATTTCGCCCCCTGATAAAGGTTAATTATTCCAAAAATTATTTCTTTACAATTATAAGGAAGCCAAAAAGCACAATGGGCAGCCACAATAAGCAAAGATCGCAAAAAAACTTTTGAACGTAATTGTCTTCTCCAAAGGGGAGTTTTCGCTCTAGGGGCACAAAAAGAAGTTGAACACATTGAAGATTGTTTTCTAAGAGAATTATTTTGTTGTTTTTCGTCATATAAGTGGTTGATATAAATTGGCTGGGAAAGACGTCCCCCTCCCGTACGTGAAGACTTTTTATTTAAAGAATTTTCTGTTGATGGAGGGACGTTTAACGAACACCTTTTGGCTTTGCGTTGTAGACCGTTGTTGCTGTAATAATTTATTTTAAATAAATGAAAAATTTTTGAAGAGGATCTTGTTTTAAAATTTAAATGGATTAAGTATTGTCAAACAGTAAATATGCTTTTTAATACAAGGAAGGATCAGATAAGTCTCTTATACAGGAGTTTCTACAAGAGACATAAGAGAATATTGATGTTATTTTTTTTTAAATGAGAAGATTCAGAAAAAGATAGGAATGGCCACCCATATATGAGTACACTGAAAGGTGCCTATATACCATCCTAGGGCATTGCCACATTGTATCGTTATAAGTGGAGCCAATCAAATTGTAATATTCAAGGTTTTCAATATACAAAAGTCTCTCAATATTCAAATAATAGTTTTTATAATTTATCATTATTTTTTGATTTATTCTCTTTTTGTTACCTAGCAGTATGATTTTCAGCATTTCTTCTCCTCGAATTCCTTTCAGATGCTGCCCTACTCAATCTTGATAAAATACTCGAATTCCTTTTTGTTTGATAGCGTAAATTTGGAGAACTTCCGGAAAGTGTAGAGGATGCAAACAAGAAAAGACTTAAAGAAGTTGGGGCTTTTGGTGATGGTGGGGGTGCTGCACTCCCCCTCTCTTCTCCAATAACTTCTTCTTCTGGCACAGCAGCTAGTGTGGCTGGAGAGCGACAGTCATCGCTATATTTTCTCCAAAAAGGAAAACAATTCAAGTCTTTGGAAAATCGCCTAAAAATTTAAAATTTTATTTCTGGTTTCTAAAAATAGTAGGGGAAGCTCAGCTGGTCCAGCATATTCACAAATTTATAAAACAGCCTTAGAAACCCCTAGAGCCATGAAATTTTTATAAATCTATTTAATAGTGTTAATTATCTATGCTGAAAATTTTAAAAATTTTGGTAGTGTACATATTTCAACCTTTATGACCTAGAAAACGCATTAGATCGAATTTTTGGTGTTTTCTGGGATTTACTAAACATTTTCGGCACACCATTAACATTCTATGAGAGAAAATTCTAAAAATTTAGGGAAGGGAAGATGACACTATTTGGGATAACTAAACAAAATTTCACGCTTCTAGGTTGACAAAATTTTGTTTTATCAGCTACGCGGCTAGACGTACCCCAATCAATTTCTAATTAAAAACTTGCCAGGTGCTAATGCTACTACTTCTCCTCATTTCTCCCTTTATTTGGCCGTTACTAGCCTTTGAAAATTTTCTTAAAGAAAGCTGACGTTTTTTGTTGTTAATATCGTCATTTCCTCCACTCCAATTTTCTGGGGCAATTAATGAAGAATAAGAATTACAATTAGCTAATAGTTGATTTGGTTTTAGAGTGTAACGTATAACTCTCAGAACAATTAAAAAATAGGAAGCAAATAGGGAAATGAAAGGAATGACAAAAACTCCAGCTTGGTGAAGTAGTTCATAATAAAGCTGTGTTTGTTTATTGAGAGACCAATGTCTGGACATTGGGCGGGTTGAATTGTTGGAACGATGGTGTTCGGCTATCTAAAATGAGAGGGAGATTTTTGAAATTATTATTAGTATCATTTAAAATAGGTGAAAATAGTTACTAAAAAGGGTGATAAATCAAGATTAACTATAGAACATTAAGATTCAGATCTATTGGTAATGGATACGTTCTTCTAGGCTTGGTAATGGATACGTTCTTCTAAATCATTCTTGATCTTACTGTTATTCTAACTAGATCTAGTATTTTATTTCATGTCCTTTTCAGGCTTGGTAAAGGATACGGATATGGTAAGTTCATATCCGTCGTATCCGGAGACCCGTCTGTATCCGCCGTAAATAAGTCTGGTTCCATTTAATTTTTGGTTCTCAACGTTTGACAAAGTCTTGATCGACATTTCTCTAAATTACCATCTCATTTTTATCTTCCACTAGTTAACTATTCTATCACAAATTTATCATTATATAATTTAAATATCCTCACACACCTGCCAAATTGTTGTACATTGAGACCATCCTTTGCTTAATTCAAAATTTGTCCAGAAAAAAATTTGGGGCAATGCACAAATAAAGGCTAAGGCCCAAGCTATTCCCAAGAAAAGCCGTACCCTACGGATTGAAGAACCATTGCTTCCTTGAACTTGGCTTGAATAAACGACCTAAAAATTTGAATGTTTATTGCTGATCTGTTCTCAAGTAAATTCAACTCATTAATAAAGAAACGATGAGAAAGAATGGAGGGTACAGAAACGAATGTCGCTTATATCGAGATTTTCCTGTTTATGCGACCAAAAAGAAATTAGGGGAGGTAGATAAGGTATTAAGTCCCTATACTTTAATTTTTTCTGTCACTTTCATAATTTTTAAACCTTTAGCCTATCAATACCAATAGCTACAACAACATTAGAATTGGAATAATAAGTAAAAGCAGAGAGAAACTGATAAAGTCTACAACCAATATCTCCAAATAACCAACGATAAGACAATAACCAAATTAATTTTCCAAGTGCGTGAACAAGTAAAATAGCAAAATCAGTAATTGCCAAATTAAATTTGAGCAGAGTAAAAGAATTCATATGTAAAGGGCTGCCAAATAAAGCTTTGGAGTTTTTACATGGAAAACCTCTGAAAAAAGAATTTTTTAAGTTTGTTTGAGTCATTCTCGAATGCGAAGAATTTGTTAATCACAAATCTTTTTTAAAAAGAAAAATACCCAAAAATGAGTTTTTTCCAAGGGATGGTTCAAAATCCTCCAATATATTTGAGAAGAATAGGGACCACATAAGGTTCAAAAGGAAGCCTGAAGGGTTCCTTTGTCTTGGAAATTAAAGATTTGACAAAGTGAAAGTTAAATAATAGCTTTGACACCAGACATGGAATCGAACCTTCGACGATTCCATGTCTGGTGTCCCTTCGACTGTTCCCTAGTTCTTGTAGTTTTACATCCTCGTGTGAGCGAGGACTTTCTAAGTTATTGGTCCCTGGAGGGTTCAAAAAGGGACCTGAAAAGTTCTCTTGTCTTGGAAATCAATTGATTTTTCCAAAAAAAAACCCTACTTTAATCGCCCCCTTAAAAACTCACCGAGAAAAACGAATTAATCTGGCAAAGGACAAAAAATTTAAAAGAGTTCCAAAAACAATTAAAAAAGAAAGAGTTCCAATTTCCACGAAATCCACTAATTGTCTATCTGATGTAAAAATATATTTTTGTTCTTCTTCTTCATTTATTAATTCTGATTTTATTAAAATATTGCTGTTATTATTATTCATTTTAAATTATTTTTTGAAGATTTCTTAATAGAAGAAAATTTTTTTACAAATAATAAGTCATTCTCTCTTAAAAAAAATTTTAAAAACAATTCCTGGCTTCTCTATTTTTAATTTTAAAAATAATTAAAATTAACTATTAAAAAATTTTTTTATTAAAAAAGGAAACCAAACAAGGAAAATTAATGAAATTTATACTAAATAAAAATTAAAAGATTAAAAGCAAATTATTTTTAAATTATTTAACTAAATTTTGTAAAAAAAAAAATGAAATTTGCAGGGATGTGAATAATTTTTAATTTAATCAATTTTCTTTAAAATAAAGATTAAAAATTTTTTTAATAAGAGATTTAATAGACAGAGGTTTTAAAAATCAAAATTTAATTTTTTTAGTCGACAGGATCCTTGGAAATGACCGCAGTTTAATCGACATTGGGTTATACCTCACTCTCGTTATAAAAACAAAATTATCACCTCCAAGTTAACTAAATGAGGCGGGCTCGAATTCTAGTATTCTGAATATAGAAAGATTGGAAGGGTCGAGATCATACCTGTTGAAACTTCAAAATTTTCAGACGAAACAAACAGAAACAAAATTTTATAAAAATCATTTGGTTAACAAAACAAAACGAGAAAATTAAAAACTGTCTCGTCCCGGAACGAGACGAAATAGTAAAAGCATAAAGAAACTAACGAAACTAAACGTTTCGTATAGGTCATATCGAAATTCGTGAAAAAATCTCGATTCTCGATGACCGCAATTTTTATTCGAATTCATGTCTCCTCCCGATCGCTAGTTCTGACCCATTCAAATATTAATTTGCCGTTAAATTTAAAAAAATTATTTGGCCAACTTTCTTTTTTTTTTTTGGCATTTAGAAATAATTTTTCGAAAATTTTTTAAAACTGATACAATTTAATTTTAAATAAAATTCTCTAACAAAATGATAATTTTAAAAATAACAATTTTAATTATCGTCTTCCTTTTTGGATAAAGAATATTTATTTTTTAATTGACGGGAAACAATTAAAAATAAAAAATAATAAATTAAATAATGGCAATAAAATTTTGTAAAAATACGTAAAATTTAATAAATTTTACGTGTTTTTAATTTATAAAAACAATTTAAAGTCAAATTTTAAACTAGGTAGTTCATACTAAAGACCGGACTGAGAAGAAATCTCGATTCTTGTACAACACTACCAGTCCGGTCTCTAATTCATACATCTTGAAGTAATTTTTAAATCAAAAAAGAAAATAATTTTTTAATTTTTTGTCATTTAATTTTTAATTAAATATTAGAGTTTAATTCTTTAAAATTTAAAAAAAAGTTTAGAAATTTTTTAAATTTTGCAAAAACAACGAAAGAAAAATTTTTTAAAAATTTTTCTTAAAAAATATCAGAGCTAAAAATCGGAAACCGTTAATTTAACCTAAAAATTTTCAAAAATGGAAATATTAAAAATCAGAGCTTAATAACTGGGCGTGAATAAGCTCAAAATAAACATAATACATATTAAAAGTATATAATTAAAATTATATTTATAAATGTTATAATTCTTTAATTATATTTTTAGTTGAGGCTTCAGATCTCTGATTTTGCCAGGCTTTTATTTAATATTAACAAACTTTAAATAAAAATTTTTTTTTCAATTCGCAACTATGTATTATAATTTAAAAAGCCTTTTTTAAGCTGTTTTTATTAATAAATAATAGGGAAAAGCCTAAAAGAAAAATTAATAAATAAAAATAAAAAGAAAAATAAAATTAAAATAAAAGGTTTCTTTCATTGACGCAAAATGCAACAAATTAAAAAAAATATTTTTAAAAGTGCAAATAAGGGAATTGTTGATAAACAACTTTATTAATAAAAAAATTATTCCAGAGAATTTTTGAAGGTTTTCTTTTTTTTTGAAATTTTGTTTTTGATTAAAAGAAAATGTTAAACAATAAAGAAAAAAAATCAGGATTATTACGGGACGCTAAAGTTTCATCCAAAAAGAAGTTTACTCAACTTGAAGATAGGTAAATATTTATAATTAAAAAAATATCCAAAAACATCGTAAAAATGTTGCAAAACTTTGTCGAATTTTTCCTCGAAATTCTGCTTCAAAGGAAAGGAATTCCAAAAAACATTCAGATATTTTTATATATTTTTTTCCGATTACTTTTGGTTTACTCTGAATTTTTTGTCAAAAAATAAAATTTTTTGTTTAAATAATTTTTAAAAATAAAATATGGTTTAAAATATTTTTTGTAACAAAAATAAATTGAACAATAAAATTCTAAAAATAATTTTTAAAAATTAGACACGTAAATATTTAAAATTAAAATTAGAATTGTTTTTTTTTATTTTAAATTTTTGTTGTAAAATTTGTAGTGTTTTGAAGAAAATACAAAAATAGGAATTATAGCTATATTTTAATCAAAACACAAAAATATTATTTTTTTTAATAAATTTAAAAAATATTACTTAAATATCTATTTCGGGGACAGAAATATTTACAAAAATTTTAATTTTTTAATTTGATTTGCCAAAATAGATTTTAAAAAACAAAATACAGTAAACGAAAGCCAAAAACTAAAAAAAGATGAAAAATAAAAAAAGTCGAAAAACGAAACTAGCAACATCCGGTTAAAATGCCCAAGTTAGGGGGTGTACGCAGACCTTTTCTACCTCCACCCCTAAAATCTGACCCCAAAACATTTCTATCCAGAAAATCGGGTGTGTAACCATTGCCTAAGCTACAGAGTTAAGACTTTTATTTTCTCTTATCTTTTCTCTTATCTTTATGTAAATGCTAGCAAGCGGCATCTTCCCTTCCCGGCATAAAAATAAATTTTTTTTTCAAAAAATTTTATTATATTTTAAAAAAACATTGTAAATATTCTCTCTCACAATTTAAAATCCGGTATTTTTTAATAAATAAAAATATGTATTTTTTTAATTTTCCTACATAAATAATTAATTAAAAATTTAATATTTAAAAAAATAAAAATAGAATTATATTTTTATAAAACAAAAGAAATTTCCATATTTGTATATTTTTATGTAAATTATATTGTAAAATACTATTTTATCATTTTTAGTAAAAATATTAAAAAAAAGGTAAAAGAAATTTAGGGAAATGAGAGAGACAACGAATTAAGGGGTTGACTGGGCGCGGTAACGTTTTGGCGTTTGTTTATAATATAGTCAAATATAAACATAAAATTCTGAAATTTTGTAAAGACATTCTAAATTGTGTCTTTTAACAGAATTAAAAATTTCAGAATTTTTGGTTAAGTATTTGGGAAGATATGATTAGAAATGTCGATTTTTCTTTTTAAAAATGCCCATTTTGACCACATTTCTGACCATAAATTCTGAAATAAAAATCAGAAAATTCTGAAATTTGTAGGAAAGATAAATAACACTATTTGGATATCTACACAAAATCTAGAAGTTCCAAGTAATCGTTACACGTTAATTTTATAAGCGTGCGCTCCTACATTCCCACGCCCAAACCTCTCACCCCCACAATACTAAAAAAGGAAGAAATAAATTAAAAGTCAAAAAAGAAAAGACGATAAAAAAATATGAATAAATTAATTGGTAAGATAATTTTAGCATAAATAATACATATTAATTTTTGAATGCAAAAATAGAAAAAAAAAGTGTTAAGGGAATGAAAACGGAAATGGATATAAGCCATCAATAACCAACCAATTTTAATTTTAAGCTGTAAAAGTGGAATTAAAAAGAGGAATATTAATAAAAGGTTTTTGGAAATTAAAGAAAAAAAAAATTTTTTAATTTAACTTTTAAGGTTGCTTTTCAACAGTACTTTTTTGCTTCCTTTTTTTATTTAAATTTTGGCACATATAAAGTAGCATTATTTATGAGGACTTTTTTGCGGACTTTTCCGTTTTTTATATTCTCATTTTTAAGATACGGATATGACGCTTTCTCTTATTATTTCAAGTTTTTTTACTCTAAATTAATCCTTAATGGTTGATTGAATGGCAGGAAGTCGAGAAAAGATAGGGAAAAGTCCGCAAAAAGAAGTCCGCTAAAAATCCGCAAAATATGTCCGCAAGAAATTCTGAAAGAAAAAGTCTGCAAAAAATCTCCGCAAAAAGATAAAAAAGAGTCAAAAAACAGCAAGTAATTATGCAAAAAAGGTCTGTAAGGCCTTAGAAAAATCCACAAAAAGAAGTCTGCAAAAAAGTCCGCAAACATATCAAAAGAATATCAAGAATATCCGCAAAAAATCCAAAGAACAATGCCTCAAAAAATTTTTCTATTTTTTCCTCAAAATTTTTCTATTTTTAGAAAATGTCTGGATATTTAAATTTGATTAAGAAAATTTGTAACATTTCTTTAACAAAAGAAAAAAAATTTTTGGACAAAAGAATTTTTTAGCTTCCTTAAAGTGCTGAAATTTACACAGTCTATAAATTTCTTTTAAAATATTTAGTGGAAGATATTTGAAAAGAATTGAAAAAAAATATTTTTTAACAAAAAGAAATGGAGCAGAAATTGTGGGAAAAGAACAAAAAAACAAAAAAATTTTTAAATAAATTATGTGTGGGCTATTAAGCTTTATTTTTTGTATATTCCAATTAGTCTAATGGAGATTAATTTAAAAATAAATAAATATATTATTGTGTGGGAAGAAAATTTTAAAAAAATTTTTATTTTAAATTATGTAAGGCTGCAAGTAAATTTGTTACAAAAATAGAGAAAAACATGTGCAAAATATTTTTGGTTTTGTGTTGATTAATTATTAATTTAAAATTTTTTTAATTAAAAATAAAAATTTTTTAAATAAATTTTTTGTGCAAATCCACATAGTGAAATGGAGCAAAATCTTGGAAGGTGGAAATAAAACCCCCCATCCTGATTGTGATAAGCCAGAAACATCTAGAGGAAATTCTAAGGCTTCTTTGCTTTTTAAAATTTTAAAATTTTTTATGTACTTTGTGGTTTACTCAATAAATTAAAATTAAATTAAAAATATGCTAAATGATTTTGGGGATTTTATGTTTATTATTATGTTCTATATCCATAAATTATCAAGTTTATCAGATTAACCAAATTTTAAGATTGCTCAATTGGTATTGAGCTTTAGACTTCAAACAATACTTTCATTAGCTCATATTCGTGATTTTTCATTAATACACAAATTATTTTTTTTAATTTCGCAGGATTTTAGTATAGAGTCCAAATGAGAATATAAAAAACAGAAAAGTCCGCAAGAAAGTCCTTATAAATAGTATAGAGCCCCACTTTGACGGTTGAAAAATAAAGCATCATGGGCTTTATTTTAGGAAATACGGTAATTACGGTTATCTGCAGATATTCGGATATTGAACTATTTTTTAATTTTAAGATTAACAAATCGTTTTTATTGTCTCAGAGGGTCAGTCTAGCCTTAAATCTTTTGCTTTTTCAAACTTTTTCCGATATACCTTTGCTAACAAATTATTAAAAATGCTGATGTTTGCAGATGTCTTGGAAATTATTATATTGACTGCAAACCTTTTAAGGAATATTTTAAAAAGACAAAAAATGAATTCAGTCTAGAATTGCCTGAAAAGATTTGGATATCTCACGAAAATGGAAGTAAAAAAGTGAAGGAGGTGCTTAAGCATTTACTGGAAGACAGCTGAAAATTTTTTCATTTTAAAGTCATTTTTTTAAAAAATCAGGTGAAAAAATTGGAATATTTAAAAAATATTTTAGAAATATTTTAGAAATAATTTTAAAGAATTATTTATTTTATTTAGCATTTTAAGATTAACATTTAAAAAAATTAATACATTAAAAATAATTTTTTAAAAAAATTATTTTTAATAATAAGCTAGTAATTTAATTTTAGCCTTTGCAAAAAATTGAAAAACAAAACACAAAAATTCCAATGATCATCATTTTTGGCCTATAAATTGGCCAAATTATTAGAAGAAGGTGAAAAATAAAAGCAAAAAAATAAACAGAAAACTGATAAAAAAAAATAAAGAAAAAAATTTTTTTGAGAGAAAAAAAATAAATAACAAGAATTTTCGAAAGCTTTCCCACTTTTCTTCTGCTAATTGCTATCAAATAAATTATTCTTAAGAGGAAAATGAAGCGCTAAAAGGAACACACACATTGTTAAACTTTAAAAATTAAAAAAAAAATTTTCTAAAATAATTATTTTGTGATATTTTTGGATTGTTTAATTCTAAAAATAAATTTTGTATTTTTTAAAAAAAACTTGAAAAATGAGTGATGTGGAATTTGCGGATTGGAAACTTGCGGACAATAGAAGACATTTAATGTGTGGAATTGATAAACTACATACTTAATGTTTATTTTAAAAATAAAATTGATATTTAAAAAAATAAGGAAAGGAGGTAATTATTGAAAGCTCCCCCTATTTTGAGTCTTGAATTTTCCTTAAGATGTACATAATGCTCAGACAAGCAGTCATATCTCTATTGAATATGACCTTTAGGTCGCGTTTTTTAATCTGTCTCTTGCGTCCATCCCCTTCCATTTTACATAGTAGGTGCATTATTATTATTATTTTAAGTGTTACTGCGTAATGATAAGTTAAAGTTGACCCAGAATATAAGACAATAAAAGCAAACTTAGGCAAAAAACTATTTGAATCTGAAATATTATTTTGCCGGAAAAAAAGAGAAAAAATAAACTTTATCAAAGAAAGAAGTTTAATTATTTTTTATTCTCCTTATTTTTAGTTTTCTCTTACAAAAAGTATTTAAAGGCTGACCTTGAAAATATTTTTATTTTTTTTATTCGTAATTTTATGTAAATGGAAAGTCCACAGCCTTAATTTACTACAATGGTTTCCTACTTCACGATCCTTGAAAATTTCAAAGTTCGAGGGACGAGTAACCAACCTTTAGTACGAGCGTACTGCTATATTTTTTTAATTGTTATTGTTTGTTGTTTATTGTTTGTCAGATTTTCTCAAAATTTCCCTTAAAATTTTAATTATTTAATGAAATTTCAGATTTGAAAATTTCTTTTGCAACTTAACAAATTAATTTTTCATCTAATGGCGCTTAAACGAATCCAGAAAGTTTGTTTTGATTACCGTATATGCTTGAATAATTATCCTCTTAAATAATTACCCCCTCTTTTTACTACACTTTGTTAAGATGTATCCCGAATTTAGCACATTCTCTCGATTAATTACCCCCTCCAGCGAGAGGACAAAACAATAATTACCCCTTGGTAATGAAGAAAATAAAGATTTCAGTTTAATTTTTATTTATGGGGAAATTGATAGCGGATAAATTTTTATTATTTTCAAAGCGGGTAGAATTTTTATTATATTTTTAGGAGCTTATAGACTTTCAACTTGAACCTCCAGCTTTGTGTAGTGCAGGGCCTATCAATGGAGATCTTTTTAATTGGCAAGCTACAATTACTGGACCTCCAAATTCGGCATATCAGGGAGGGGTGATCTTCTTGAATATTAAATTTCCAAACGACTACCCGTTTAAACCGCCACAAGTTAGGTTCACAACAAAAATTTACGCACCATATGTTAACAGCGATTTGGGTACTATGTGTTTGGATATTCTTACTAGCAAGTGGTCACCAGCTTTGACTATTTCTAAAGGTAATTTTGAAAGGGAAAGGTGAAAGGACCAGAACCGAAGATTTACAAGTATCCGGTTCCCAGGGGAAACGCCAGAAATAATAACTGGACCTCCAAATTTGGCATATCAGGGAGGGTGATTAATAAATGAAGCCTTTAATAAATGAAGCATTTTTTGCTGGAATTAATCTAAAAAATTAACCCCTATGTGGTTAACATTTAATCGACTTCAATATGTATTACCTACATACATATGTCCTAAAAATCATTTTCAGTTCTGATCTCAATTTGCTCTATGTTAGGCGAAGTTAACAGCAAACATACTCATTATGCTACGGCCCGTGAATGGACGCGAAAATATGCAATGTGACCAATTTGGTCAAAGAATTGAAGAATTAAACTTTTTTAAGAAAGAATTCAAGACATGCCTAAAACTGATTACTCAATTTTTAAATTTTCTGTATTAAATAAAAACAAAAATTTTTTTATTAATTTCAATTTATGCAAAATTTGCATTAATTTGATAAAGAATTTTCAATTTGAAGTTTTAACTTGTGTCTCTGAGGTTTCTTATAGTTAATATAGTTAATTGAAAATAAAAAAAAATTTTTTTAGTTAATTTAGGAAAATAATTAGAAAATAAATACGATTTTCATTAAAATTTCAGTTTGTATGACTACATATTTTACTTATTTATTCATCCCCTAAAAAAGGAAATAAGGACTTTTTCGATATTTTAGAGGTTTGCCAGAAGGTAGGTAATCGAGTGTTCTGACTCAGAACTTCTGAGTCAGAATTTGAGTTCAAACTTTATTTATTTCGAATTTTAATTTCTTAAATGCTAGTTTACATTGAGTAAAAAATTTTAAAAAATTGGATGACTAGGAGAGGCGAAACCTTAAAATTTATATGTAGGTGTTCTTGCCCGCAAATTTTTAAATAAATACTAGTCTTTTTAACAAAAATATAATTATTTTTAAGTTTAACAAAATTTAAATAATTAAATTATTTTTTTAATTTTTAAGAAATGGTCTCGATATTCTAAAAAAAGACTCGTATTTATTCTATTTAATTGAGTATATTTTATTTTTAATTTATAGCTTTGTTGAGGTTTTTTTAAAAAGGTTTTTGTTGACGAATAAAAAAACTTTTTTTTTAATTTCCTTAAAATGAAAGGGATTAAGTTCTTAAAGTTTTTAATGAAAAAAAATTTTAAAAATAAAGAAAAAGGACGGAAATTAATTGAGAAGGTTTTTAATTTAAAAAAGGAAATTTAATACCATGAAATAATATCTATAAGTATATTTTTTGTTAATCCTGTTTTTTATTAATTTTTAAAAAAAAGTGTAAGATACTACATATTTAAGTGTTAATTAAATTTTTTAAATTAATTATGTATATTATTTATAATGATTAATTAGTAATATTAAATTGATGAGAATGGAATGAGAAATAATGAAATATTGAATAATCCGATATCAAACGGTTAGGTGTTAAGATTTAAGAATGAAACGAGATCATAGATCTGTAGAGTCTGTTAAGCTTCCTTCCGGTATGGCAAAGAAAGCAAACGCGAAAACGAGCTATCAGAGAAATCTAGAGATCAAGTCCCATCCATTTTTTGCTATTATCTGGAATGTATTCGGTCGCTTTACTGATTCATAAATACGAAAAAAACTTTTTTCAAATTAGAAACGAGAAAAGGCGAAAAGATAGCTTTGCGGCATTCATTTTCCAAGATATTATTTTAAAAGCAATAAATTTGAGTAAATAAAAATTACAAAATAATTATTAAAAACTTTACATTTATTGAATTTTTAAAATAAATACAAAAAAATAATAGTTCATAAAAACAATAAAAATTTTCTAAAATAAAAATATAATATATATTCGACTTCGTTCAAAACATTAGATATTATACCGAAAAAGGTACGGATATCCCGAAATTTAAGTTTTGGTTATCCCAAAAATTTTCAGGATCCATCATTTTTAATAGGAAGCCTATTGTAACCCTTAGGTAATTTAATCCGAGTCTACTTTTTATTTTTATTTGCACCTAATAAAATTTGAAAATTTAAGAATTTTGTGTATTTTGATGATTATTTAGATTATTATTATTGTTTGTATCTTTCCCAGTATTTCCTTCTTTCCCCTGAATTCTTCTTCCAAATCCATAAAGAAAAGGGTTAATTAACACAATTAAAAATTGTAAATCCTTCAAAACATTGGCCTGTTCACTCAATTGTTCGTAAATTCTTTCATTACAATGCTTCATTAAAGCATAAAAATTATAGGGGGACCACAACAAAACATGAGCTAAAATAACTAAAAGTGTTGCACGAAAAGCTCTGCTTTTTAAATGTCTTCTCCACAAAGGTAGGGAAGAGGAACAAGAAGTCCCTTCACATCCTCCCCCAATTGTTGAAACTGAAGAAGAACGAATTGAAGAAGAACGATTTTTGGAAGAAGGTAATTCTGAAGAATTTTGGTGGTTTTGTTGGTGCTTTTTAAGTGCTGAACATATCCCTCCTACTCCGTTACTTCCAGAACGTTTTTGGCGGTAACGAGGGTTGTAGTGGCCTAAGGAGGCGGAGAGAGGGCGATAACCTGTAAATTCTGGAAGGATTTTGTTTTTGTGTTTTTTGTGTTTTTTGTGTTTTTTTGTATTTTAAATTGTCTTTTAATCTGTCCTAAGTCTGTCCTAAGCAAGTTCTGAGTTAAAAATAAATCTTTGGAAAATTTTTTTGAAATTTTAAGAGTATTTGATATAGAATAGAGAAGAATGACGATTTAATTGAGTGAAAAATACTTAAGCTAGTCTGATCATAAAATCTTTGAGAAAATAAATTATTTGATTATTTTTAATAAAAACATTTAAAAAATAAAGATGAGCGTCTAAATGAAAATTTTAGGAAGATAATAAAGATTTTTAGGATTATTTTTAAAAATAAAATATTTATTTAAGTATTGTCGTCATTATTTTGAAATTAATTTTACTTCCAATATTTAATAATTTTTAAAAGAAAATTTAAAAATAAAGGTCAAAAGAAGAAGAAACGATAAGAAAGAAGCTTATTGTTATTATTAAAAAATATTTTTATTAAAAAACTAAAAGAATTTAAATTTTAAAAATATTGACAAATACGTAACTATGTAGAAGGAAAAGAGTTTTAAAAAGAGAAGGAACTGAAAGGTTGAAAGGATTTTTAAAAAGAAGATGTTTAGAAAAAAAAACAAAAAATAATAAAATAGAATTTAATAAATAGACAAGTGCGCAATTAAAAAAAATTTTTCCGAAAAAATTCTTGGCATTATGTTTAAAAATTTGAAAATTAAAAAAAATCTTGGATATTAATTTAAAAAAATAGACACTGAAAAATCTAATTGGTAATAGTGTCGTTTCCCAGCCCCCTTTTTTTCCTCCCAATTTTCTACCCTATGTTTGTACGGAATGGTCAAATTTTCCCCTTTCTTTCATCAAATTTGCCTTTCCATATTTTGCCTAAAAACAATCAAAAAAGATTAATTTTTTATTCATTTCTTTCACAAGGATAAAAAAGTGAGACATGATGCCAAAAATTATAAAAAACATTTTCAATATTGCCAAATCGTTTTCGCCACATAAATTCCGGGAGATAACTTTTATAGGTTTCAGTGTTGTTGCCAGCTTGATGTCTGAATTTTCGTTTATAAGTTGACCACAATGATTCAATGTTCTGTGTATGGACATTAGGATCTTCGCTATCAACGTATTCTTTTGAATGATTAACAGTGGCGTGGATATACTGTTCTCTCATTACTCTAATACTTATTTAAATATCACAAATTAATCTTTTTGATTGTTTTTAGGCAAAATATGGAAAGGCAAATTTGATGAAAGAAAGGGGAAAATTTGACCATTCCGTACAAACATAGGGTAGAAAATTCGGAGGAAAAAAAGGGGGCTGGGAAACGACACTATTACCATCTAATTTTGATAAGAAATAAAAGTCAAAATAAAAAGTTTCTGGATGTTAAAAAAGAATATTTTATTAAAAACAAAAAGAGAAGGGGCAAAAAATCAAAAATTAATAAAAATTAATTTTGACATTTTTCCAAAGATTTATTTAAAAAATATATAATTAAATTTTTCGGATGTTAAGCTTAATTAAATTTATTTATTTTCTTTAATTTTAAGAAAAAAATATTTTTCAAATAAATTAGGTACCTTCACATATATTTGGTGATTTATTTCTTTTTTCATTTTCTGCATTTTCAACGTCACAACTTTCTTCCTCCCCAATTCTGGCATCTTCCCAACTTTCCCCAGAACAATTTAAAGGAATATTATTTGGAACAAGTAGACGATGGCTTTTGGAAAACTGAAAAAAAATAAATGAGAAATTAGAGAGAGATGCGGGATAAAAAAGTCAAGTGAGAAGATAAATTGATAAAAATTGGCAAAAATGTCCTAAATTAGTGTATCTGTTACCCCAAAAATTTTTATAATTTTTGTCCTGTTATTTGAAAAATTATGGTCAAAAATGGCAAAAGTTTTGGTGAAGAGATAAACAAAAAAATTTTTTGAATTTTTGACAATTATAACTTTTCTATACATATTAGAAGAAATCAGAAATTCTGAAATTTTAAACAAGGAAATTCCACTATAGTGCACTCAACTTTAAAATACACTAAATTTAATAAACTTCGATTTAAGATACGATTATTTAAGCCTAAGCTTATCATTAGTAGATGTGAGCTACAAAAGCGATACCTTCTATGTATTTATTATAAAATACTGTTTTTTTCAACCCAAGAGTGAATCTAAAAGTGAAGCTTAATTGTATGAAGAAAATAGTTGATCTTCGATTAGTCTATGGGGTATTTTATAATCGTGTACCTAGTATTATTGCACCTAAACTATCCAAGAAATTTTTTTTAAATAAATTTCTTTTAATTAAAAGAAAAACTCACTCTTAAAGTAAAAGAATTTCTCAATCTAACAAAAATTCTTTTTGCAGAAGAATAATTTTCTTGATCAATTTCAACTTGATTTTGTTGTTTAGAAGGTGTTAAGTGGATAAAATTGGAAGAAGAATTTGTGGAAATTGAGCTTCTACAGTTACATAAACGGCTAGATCTTCTTATATAATTTTTATTATTTGGAGAGACTGATCCGTTGAGAGGAGGAATTGGAGAAGTAGATTGTGGTAAATCTAATGGGGAAAAATTTTTTTTCGTAAAATTTAGATTAAGGAGCAAGGCCTAAATGATTTATTATTCCCTTTATAAATTACAGACTGGATAAAAAAATTTTTTTGGATGATCAAAAAATTAAAAAGGAAGAAAAGAAGTGGTGCTCTAAAGAAGAATATGGGGAAAAACTGATAAATTTTTATCTTATTTAAAAGATTACCGAACCAATCAAAAAAATTTTTGGGAATCTGAAAATTAGAAAGGATTTCTTGAACCCTTCCAAAATCTCAATCTCTGAACATTTTACGAGTTCTAGTGTTTTTTAAATTATGATACCATTTCTCTCATTAGTCTAGAGATATTTTCCAGGTTTTGAAATGAATCCCAATCTAACTACTCTGATAAAAACTAAAAAAGGGTTCCAAATTTAAATTTTTTTTCTAAAAAATTTTTTTCTTTCTAAAAAAATTAAAAAAAAATTTTTCTTCTAAAAAAGACTTTAATTTTTTTCTTTCTAAAAAAATTAATTTTCCAAATCCTTTCTTTGACCCCAAAATAAAATAAAAAGTAACCCTAAAAATAAAATAAATGATTTTATTCCTCTACCTTCACTACTTTTCATATTATTTTTATCAATTTCGCAATCATTTTCATTTGTAAAAGATGATTTTTCTGGTGTAGGGGATAATACTGGTTGATGAATACAATCTCTACTATCATTTATTTGACAATATAATCTAACTGAGGGGAAACTTTTAACAGAAGCACGTTTACTACAACGACGCTTCCAACCATTTTTTCGATTGTTTATTTCGTTGTTGGTGACAGAACAATTTTGTTGGGCTGTTGACTGTGGGGTCTGAAAAAATTTTTTTTGAAAATTTTTTTTGAAAAATTTCTGGTAGAGTATCTTTAAGAATAATTTATTTGTTAAAAGGAGTAATTGATCAAAATGGATTTTGAAGGAGTTAAGCCTCAGAAAATTCCAGCATCATTTAGAAAATCACAGAATCACCGAAACACCTTTATCATTTCCTTGGGGAGTTAGGGCCAATTGAGCGTCAACAAACTTTTTATCTTTTTTTATTTCGAGAAACTTTTTTAATCGAATGCCTTCGTTAACCGCTTGCCCTAAAAAGTTACAGTCAATCTAAACTGGCAATCTAAATTTGTCGTAGTTTTTTAAGACGAATGGGACGAAATACCGTCTAATTCAAAATAAATCTGTGAATTAAAATTCAAAGTAAAAACAAGAATGCGAGCACAGTAAACACTATTATTAAGATCATAAAATCTCAAAAATTAACGAGAAAAGCTTTAATTAACACTAAAAATCATGATAAAATCCCATAATTAAAAACTTTATTTTTAATTTTTTTCACCTTTGCAATATTTCTCGGATTGTTGGCTGCAAAGCGAATAAGTCTTGTTGATATTAAAGCATAACAAATAATTAAAACAATTAAGGGGCCATAGAAAACCAAAAACTTTAAAAATAATTAATTTTTATGTAAATTATTTTCTATTAAATTCCCACTAAATGTGTTAATTCATAACCATTTTGAATTAAAGGACTAAGCACAAATTCTTCCCAATTTGAATTATTTTTTTGTAAAATATTTGTATTAGGTTGATGTTGTTCTAGTAGATAACGCTCATAGCGGTCAATACTCCAAATCTATTAAGTGAATTTATTTTTTTGAAAGAAAATTTCAACGAAATTTAATAAAAAAATTTCAAAAAATTTCAAAATTTTTCAAAAATTTTTTTGAAAAAATTTCAAAAAAATTTCAAAAATTTTCAAAAAATTTTTAAAGAAAATTTAATAAAAAAAAATTCAAAAATTTTCAAAAAAATTTAAAAAAATTTCGAAAATTTTTTTAAAAAATTTTAAAAAATTTCTAGGATTTTCTAAAAATATTTTTCTAATTTTTCTCGTCAAAAAATTTATTTTTTAAATTAAATTTATTTATTTATTTACATCCGTGCATTGCACCCATCCCTGTGATTGTGAATTTCTAAAAGGATTGTAGGTTGTCCAAACAAAAAGCTAAAAAAAGGATGGATAATTTTATAAAAAAAATTTTTAAAAACCTGTGGAAGGCTAAATAAAATGGAAAATAACCAAGCAAATATGAGCATTATTCTAACCAAATTTAGCTAAAAATAAATAATTTTAAAAAATTATTTTAACTTTGTTTTATTTAACTTCGAGTTTAAAATTTTAGATCTAGCTACCCTTTTCTTTTAATAAAATCGAAAAATACCAAAATATTTACCCAATATTAAATTTGAATTTTCGTCTGTAAAAATCTCCTATCAATCCCGCTTATGGTTCATATTAGAGCCCGGACCGATACGAGATCTCGACGAAAATCTCGGTTATCGAGATCGAGAATATTTCAAGATTTCGATTCTCGTACAACACTCCCAGTCCGTTCTCTAGTTAATTAATTCCTAGGAATAATGAAGAAAGGAAAATTAGTTTAGGTAAAAGTAGGTCTACACATTAAGGATGGCGGTTCCTGGAAAATCTCCGGATATCCGGAACCAGAACCGATATCCGAACCGAAATTTTCGGATATCCGAGGTTTTTTCGGTTCCGGATACCCGGAACCGCCAACCTTACTACACATTAGTTCATTAATAATTATTATTATTCAGAAATGAGGCGGAAACTGAGGATTTTTCACGGTTCGGTTCTCTAGGCCATGTAAACTTTAAAAATTATTTTTCCAAATTTTCCAACCTTTTGTTGTCCCATATTTAATTTTTGTGCATTTAAGACGGTAGTTAATCTATCTAGAGCAATACAGATAACAATATTTGAAGACAAATAAAGGGTAAACATTGAAAGAAAATTAAATATTCTGCACAAACACTCTCCCCCCTTCCATTCATAAGTTATTAGCCAACCAAGTTTGCCAAGTGCGTGAATTAATAAAATTAATAAATCGCTTATGTTTAAATTCAATTTGAGTAGAACAAAGCCATTCTAATATTAAAAATTAAAAAAAATTTTTTAATGTAAGAAAATATTAGATATTAAAACAGGATGGTCCAGACATAGATTTCCCCAAGTTTTCCCAAGAGTTTGGATTAAGACGATCTCTCAAACAAAAATCTCGATTATCTAGATCGAGATTTTTCAGGAGATCTCGTACGACACTCCTTCCGATCTCTAGTTATAACACAAGTCATAAATTTATTTTCAATGAATTCAAAATTCAAAGAATTCAAATTTATAATTCAAAACCATTGCAAGTTTAATTTATTTAATAAACGACTACAAATTTTCATATTTTCGAAAATCTCCCATTAACACTAGGGTTTCACCTTAATCGAAATTTTGACCGGAACCGGATCCATTTTGAGTTCCGGTTCCCGGAACCGGAACTTTTCAAAGTAACCGGAACTTCCGGTGAAACACTAATTAACACACATCTCTAATGGCCCATAAACTAATAAGTTTAATTTGTGAGAGAATTTTCCAAACTAAAAAAAAGTTTTTTAATTACCTTAGGCCTGCCCCCACGCTCAGTCATTTTCTTTTCAATGAGTAAACGTTTCAAAACACAAAAATTTAAAGTTAATCCAGTTAAAATAACTGAGCCTAAATAAACAATTTCAATATAATCACTAAATAAATGTTCTGGAGGTAAAATAATATTTTCTTCTGAAGAATTTTTGGAAGAAGAAGGGGATGTTGTTTGTGTTGTTGGTTTAATTTGTGTTACAACCATTTTTTTGGGAAATTTTTTTATTAAAAATTAGCTAAAAAATAGAAAGAATTATTTAAATTTTGAGGTATTTTTTCTATTTTTCTCACAGAAATTTTCTTTCGATGACGGAAGGCACATCAATAAATTACCGGGAATTCGCGATTTTTTTCGAAATACACAATTCCCAATTATTTTTTTCTGGACTAGATGAAATTTAAATTTAAAAGACAGTGAGGAAATGATGTCAAAAGAGAGGCTCTTTCAATAATGATTAATTATGTAGTTAGGGTGATCAGATAATTTTTCCAGATATCAGATAATTTTTAAAGAATCGCCAATCTAGTAACGATAACTCTATGGTAGGATTGGAGGTTTTTGGAAAATCTTCCAATGTCCGGAACCAACCCGAAAAGTGTTTAGAGTTAGCAACGTTTCAAAAATTCTTTTTATGAGATAGAAATTTCATTCAATTTTTGAAATTTCAGAAGGCCCTAAAGCAAAAAATTTTCTATTTTCTCAAGAACACCGAAAACCCGAACAGAAACATCCTCAATTATTCGGCTCGGTTCCGAACCGAGAAACCCTTATTTTTAAATATTTTTTGTGCAACATGTTGATAGTTTATTTAAGCTGAAAATTTTAGCCAAAAAATAATTTTAAAAATTTATTATAATTTCTGAATAAGTTAAACGGAAATTTAGTCTATTTCTAGCAAAATTTAAATGTTTGATTAAAATAATTTTAAAAAAAATTTTTAATTGCAAAAAAATTAAAATAATTAAATTATTAGACAGCTGATTTAATAATTTTTTTAATTTAAAAAAGTTTTAAAATAAAATTAGAAATTAATTTTAAAAAATTATTTAAATAAATGTCTGATTTTAATATTACTCAAAATTTGATTTAAAATTTTTTTCTTTTTTAATTATTAATTAATTTAATTATTAATTAATTTAATTATTAATTAATTTCTCATTAAATTACCTAAAAAATTTTGGTAAATATTAATTTTTATGGGAATTTTCTAAAAATAAATTTTTATAAAAAATAAAAGGAGGGTGTAATAAGTAAAGGTGTTAAAATAGAAATAAAAAGGAAATAGAAAAAAAATCTTCCAAAATTAGTAAATAAATTTGAAAAATAATTTTAGTAAAATTAATTTATTTTATTTGTTTAGCAGATAAAAATCTATTTGGGTATTTTAAATTCGATAAATAATGTTTTTTAAAAAAATTTTCTTCTCGGTTATATTTAACCTGAATGAACTAAACTAAAATTCAAATATTAAAAATCTCCAGTTAGAAAAACTCCCGTTAGAAACTTACACCCCCGAGGGAATGGCAGATTAATTGTGGAGTACCAATTAGATTTTTTGTAGAAATCTTTCTTGGAAATGAATATGTATAGGTCAGAAAGTGGGTTAGAACAGTCGAAGGTGTGTCAGAAAAAGGGACTAGCCCAAATGTCAGTAATCGAAAATTTAAAAAATTTAGAATTTTTAATTTAATATCAGCATTAAGACTAAATAGAGGGTTAAATTATAAAGAGAGTCATAAATATATAATTATGGATATAGATATATCCATGTATGAATTATATGAAAATTATTTTTAAAAACTTCCTAAAAAAATTAAAAATAGCAATATTTAAAAATTACTTGGAATTTTTCCTAAAATTTATGGAAATAATTTTGAATATTTAAATATCCAGTTAAATTGGAGCATCATGACGTGAAAAAAACAATTGAAACAAAATTGTTAAAAAGAGGTAAATTTAAAAAATATTAAATAAAAGAACCAAATGTGTAGATTAAAAAAAAAGGAAAAAAATTTTTAAGAAATAATTTCTGCGAGACATGAAATTCTGAGCGTGTTTTGACGCAAAATAGACATGGCGTAAAATCGCCAAAAATTAATCTCCAAAAATCGCCAAAATCGCCAAAAATCACCAAAATTTTTTTTTGTAAAATCGCCAAAAATTTACGTAAAACCGTGAAATTTAGCATAGTTTTGCTAAATACTTTTATCTGACAATTCTCAAAAAATCAGAATTTTAGGTACCAAAATCAGAAAATTCTGGTCGAAAATGTCAGAATTTTCTTTGAAAAGAACCTAGTTTCTTCGTTCTTTCGATAATAACAAAGGAAATACAAGGCAAAAAATTTTTAAATTTTAAACAATGTTAGTTGACATTATGAGGGATATATTTGCAATATTTCACGTCTCTAAATTCAAATTTTGCAATTTTATAATTGCTCGAATAAACCAAGGTGTGCGTAAACACGCAACCAAAAAGCGCTTAAATTAAGGCGAAAAATATTTTTTAATATTTTTTTAAATTAAATTTTAAAGAGAAATGAATCACAAAATTTATTTAAATGTTGACTTGATTGTTAAAAAATTTTAAAAAATTTACTTTTTATAATTACAGGGTTTCTGAATATTCAAACAAGTCAACAACTTTTAGTTAAATTTAAATATTAAAAAAATATTTTTTTAAAAGAAAATATTTTCTATTTGTAATTTTAATCTCTTAAAAAAATTATTTAATCCTTTAAAAGTCAGATAAAAAATTTAAAAAAAATGTTTGTGGGATGAAATGTTTTTTTAAAAGAAACCAAAGCAATTTTAATGACGGAAATGCTTAATTGCACTAATATATTTGAAGGAGAAGATTTTGAAAAAATTAAAAAAGAAAAAAGTGAATTAAAATTTGGTTATTTTAATTAAAATTTGACGTTTTTTGAAAAAAATTTTGAAAAAAAAATTTTTATAAAATTTATTTATCTTAACAAAAAATAAATTAGAATATAGAAAAAAAAATTATTTCAAAAAAATTTTTTAGAAGAAACGGAAAAATAAAACATGCGATAACAAAAAAGGAACTTTTTTAGACCTATGTACTATAGTACGTAATAAGGTTGGCGGATAGTTGGAAATCTTCGGATATCCGGATCCGGATCCGGTATCCAAACCGAAAATTTCCGGATATCCGGCCTTTTTTCCGATCCGGATATCCGTATCCGCCAACCTTAGTACGTAGAAGAAAATTTTACTATTTTCATTAAAAATAAATTTTAATAGAATTTAAAGTTCCAAAACGAGGCCATATATTCCAAAATATTTTGTAGGCATAACACCTCTGCTTGGAAGGAGAATAGAATATAAAAGATACCTTCCCAAATACCCCCCACCCCCCCTCTCTTCTTTTGTTGATTTACCCCACTCCCTCCTTTCAATTAATTAAACACCCACCTCCTCAGTGAAAGGTTAAAAAATAATTATTCAAGCTAATCACTGAAGGCGTTTAGGAATAGATCAGGAAAAGAGTAATGGCTTGCTTCACCTGCCTTTTCCATTCACGCAAGTCTTTAGGTCAATCATAAATTTAAATTTAACAAGTCCCTTCAGTGTTCATAAATTTCAATTTTTTCCACTCGTACTCGTACTTCGTACCAAAGTACGAGTATGAGTACGAATTTTGGTACGCGCTTGTGAACATCGGTCCCTTCTCTAACGACACCTAGTTTTATTTATCAAAAAAATCCCTTGAGAAAATCTTTTATAAATTATTTTGTAAGATATTTGTTCTAATTTTTTGTTTTTTAATTTATGAAGCAAACACCCCCGCAAAACATTAGCAATTAAAAAAAAAGAAGCCAATAATTATTTAAAAAAAAATAATTTTTACAAAAATATACAAATTAAATTATTAGTTAAAAATGCAAAAATAATTTTTTTAAAAAAAGATTTGCTTTTTAATTTTTAATTTTTATTCAAAAAAATTCTTTCTTTATGTTACTTTAAAAATAATATTTCCGGAAGAAATTTAATTAAATTAAAAAAAGGAGGATAAATGTAACAAATTTTAAAAAAATGTCTAAACATTATTCTCGTTTTCTCTATTAATTTTTAATTAAATTGGAAATGTCAGAAACTTTGCTAAAAGCTAAAAAAGGTCACTTCTTTAAAAGTCTGGAAGTAAATAAATTTAGTAATTGAAGAGAAAAATTTCTTGTTAAAAAAGAGATGCGTATTTTATTAGTAAAATCCTTAACAGTAAAAATCCCTCTCTATGAGGACTCATTCTCCAACTACACCGGAGTGATGACGAGATGTCTCTTATTAACAAGGGGTGTCATTTAGGGTTGTCTGTTTCAAAACCGAACCAAAAATTTTCAGTTCGGTTTGTCGGTTCGGTTTCGGTTAACCGAAGAAATTGGTGAATTTCTCTATTTCTCTATGGATTCTCTATTTCTATAGAATTTCTCCATAAAGACACGCTATCCATAGACACTCTCCTTCTACGTCATAAAATTCGTTCCTTAAAAGGGCTCCATGACAATTGTACAGTGGGACAATTGTACAGTGAGACAACTGTACAGAAGACAATTGTACAGTGGACAATTGTACAGTATTAAGAGCTTTTTAAAAAAATTTAATGTTAACCCAAAATATCGAAAACATATGATCAACACTAAATTCATTAAATTTTATTTCACAACATGAGAAGGTTATTCAAATGACGAAACAAACTTCAATTCGTTGAAATCAACGAAATAGGTGATCAATCGTGGGAGTTATCAACATAGAAAGTGATCAACCAAGAGTGATCAATCAGTTGAGTGATCAACCTGAAAGTGAAAATCGGAAAAGGTTGAGAAATATCGATATGAAAACCGAGTGAGGAAGAGTGATCAAACGAGAGCGATAAACGACACAGATATCGAACACCTTAGGGATCATCAAGATTCACCTTAGAGATTAATTGATCAATCGATCACTCTCTCTCTCGGTTGATTAATTGAAAAATTTGATAAAAATAGACTTCCCCGTCATTGAACTACCTCACAATGTTGTATAATAGAATTAAAAAAGTTTAATATTGATCATATGGTTTTCGATACTGTGGGTCATATTTTTTGACGATTAGCGCAAAATTAAATTTCTTTTTAAAAAGCTATGAATACTGTACAATTGTCCACTGTACAATTGTCCCACTGTACAATTGTCGTGCCACCCTTAAAAGCGTCGTTATTTGTAG